TATACGCACAGATTTGAAGGTTGTTAACGCATCTCCAACTTCTAAGTATTCTTGTTAACTTCAAGTTTTACAACACAAGTTTTAGTTAACTTCAGTTAGCTTCTAAGTAATTGTAGGTGTTCAATCGACGGCAGAACATCGGGGTAACCTGTTAGCAAACTACTCAATTTTGCACATAAAAAGATAATTTATCTCTCAAAATAATAGACTGAAATTAATCGTGTCAAGAGAATCACAGAGTTTGATAAATGATTTCACAAGAAATCATAAACATTATCGGGTTTCGAACCTAATGCTCGATAAAGATACAACAATGATTATAAGACTAATCAAATTCTCAGCTTTCAGTTATTAATTTCAATCCTTGTTAATAATAACTTTTAAAATGGGTTTCAGTTAACAAGAGCCAATTTGGAGTATTCATTCTCAAGTATTATTAACGGCAACTTTCGAGGGAAAGATTTCATTAATTTATTTTCAATCTGCTTGATAAGTTATAACTTTAAATCTAATCCGGTCTAACCATAAGTACTTCATATTAGTTTGCCTACTTTCCAGTCAGGCATTAAAGTGGAAAAGTTTGTATGAAAAAGTTAAAGATTATTGGAGCTTACTAGCTATCAATATTGCTCTAACAAAATGTTTTTTAATCAATATAGAAACATTAATATTTTCCTACTTAATAACACAAAATCAGAGGATTTCCAGAAACAAAAACCAATCATATCTTCCTATTTTCAGTAAGGAAATACGGCGTTTTATTGATTTCAAAACGAAAACACACAGTTCGTAAGTATTGATTAGGCAATTGAATTTTTTACAAATTGTTTCATTAATAACGGTAATTGTTTAAGACTGGATTGTGTTAAATCAGTTCTTATTTAGATATTTTGTATAATATGGTCATGTAACTTTCAGATGTGACAACAAGTTTCCTGTATCAGTTTCGTTCCAAATCGTGAGGGTGAAAACGTCGCCTTGCCGGACAGCTGTGAAAAGCTAAAAGCTGAAAGGTAAAAACCTAGGCCTCCTAATATGTATTTTTTATAATATGAATATTTGTAATATATTTAATGATGAATCCGTGGCGCAGTTGCCAAGGTATTGGATTTGGCGTCGGGGGTCTTGGGTTCGATCCCCACACGGAACAACTGTTTGTGAATAGTTGTTTCGCAGGGGGGGATTGTCCACTTGAAATTTATGTTTTAAAACTTCCTTACAACCCAAGATTATGTTATCCTAAAGTAAGGGCAATGTTATTAGAAAAAAAAAGTAATATCTATAGTCAATTTTCTATCTCCAATTTAGATATGTCCAGATTTCTAAATTGGAGGTAGTCGAAAAGGGCTTCAATGGAATGGAATATAATATTTTTACGATATTTAAAAAAAAACATTTGATAATGCGACTATTAGATTAGTTTTTAATCTCAAGAAGATATCTAAATGAAACAAATTAAAACAAATAGTTGAACGAGGACAATTAATTTTATTTTTCTGTATAAAATAACAGAACGCCAAAAGGAAATATATGAGACGCGGAATTCTGCGAGGGCACCATTTCATATCTTACTTTTTCATTCTCTCCTTTATTCAAAGGTTTCTTGTGAAGCGAAGTACTTTACTTGTGCCGATACAAGGCGAAATTGAAATTCGATATCCGAACACCGAACTGTTGAGGAACTGCCATAGCTCCTCTGAATTTTATTGTAATATCGTAGGACTTATTTCGACGTTCGAACAGCAGTTAAATATATTGCTAAAGAATCGGGTAAACATCTTTTGATATCGCCCTTTCTTAACGTTATGTTTGTTTTTACAGTCAAGGCCGCGGTTTCGTATTGTGCCCTAATTTTGTAGATTAAAAAGGGCGAATAATAATTTGCCCCTCCTGAAAAATCTTAGTTCATATAAATAAATATATAGTTAAGATATAAGTAACGTCTTCGAATTTGAAATATATGTAATATTTGGGTCTGGAACTGAATGAGTTCAAACTTTTGATTCCAAAGCTTATAAAAGAAAAATATAAGAAAACTTTCTTTATATTTTAAAACTTTTATAAATATGTGTAAGCTTGGCCTTTACATCTTTTGTCGGGATTTCAATATCCGAACATTTAATATCACCACGACTGCATGTTACAACGCAAGCGAATGTGTCATATGTGTTTATTGTGACCACGTCAAGTTCACATTGGAGGACTTTTTCTATTATTATTTTGTACTAAAAACGGAAAATCATTAAATGATTTAATTATCATTGAATAATTTAATTACTCATTAAATGATTATTAGTTAAACTGTAAATCATTAATGAGAAATTTACTAGCCGTGAACCTATTTTGCGCGACCATAAAAACGAAGCCGTTCTTAATTTTACATACCAAGGCACATATAATAATTAATTCCGCATATTAATTTAAAGCGAAAAAGTGATATTTTAATATTTTCGCATATTAAAAAGTCCCTCTTATCGAGGAACGACATCTGCTCCACTAAATCAAGTGCGAAAGCTTAATTTCTGTTTCTCTATTGCTTCATTATTCAAATCCTTTGTTCCCTTTTTTTCAAGAGGCCATTGAAAAGTGGAAATAATGAAAAAAGTGTCTTTTACAACTTTTTATTCTCCAAGAAAGGGTTCAATTAAAACCGCTTCTTTGTATCCGGCTGCCTGCTCGACGTTTAATGCGCCTTCAGGAATAAGTCAATGGTGTTCAGAAATTTTGTGTTTAAATCTCTTATTTAAACTTAATAAAAAAATGTGTGCCATACATTTTTGTCATTAAATGTATGGAATTTGATTAATTTCTATTGTCCTTGTTATATTTTACAAGCTTCTTCTTCAGGGAGCCGTCGAGCGTTTCGCTGGGTCCATACGTCAAGCATCTAAATAAAGCCAAAAAAATGTAGGTTCCGGATAAGTAATCACCAACATATCGAATTTTTTTAAATGTTTTTTTTTATTTAAACATAAAAAAAAAACTTATCAGATACTTAAACCTTCTCCGAAACACGGTGCATCTGATCGTGTAAGTATTATTATGACCGATATTTATCCCTACAGATTTCTTTTATCTATGCGATTTCTCCTTGTGAAATAAATCATTGCCACTACATGATTTAAATAAATGATTAAGAAAACTTTGAATGTTTTGTCGTATTACATAATACTTCTAACTATAAATAATACTTCTTTTGACAGTCCGATTGGCGTCGTGGGCAGTACACCTGTCTGTTGCGGCAGAGGGTGCGTGTTCGATCCTATACTTAAAGCGTCGTGCTGTTCTCCCATCAGCCGATATATGTAGCATTTGATTACATTTTCAATAGCGTTGTCATAGGCTACTTAACGGGTTACTACAAATAGACTGGAATTTAAATATTCACAGCGCGTGCTTAATAAACCAGGGCTGAATTCTATTTATTTAATAAATCATTTAATACACCATTGCTCGAAAAACTAAGGATATTTAGAAATTGCAAAAAAGCTAGCCATCTCTGTCGTCTTTTAAACCCTTGAGTCAAGGAGCAAGTCTTGTCGAATATTATATATACCTATAATGAAATAGTACATTATACATACATGTACATACATAATGTATATAATACAATATACCTATAATTAAAACAGTTGAATGAGTTAGAATATCGCTGTTTCTTCTTCTCATACAAACTCCTTTCTTTACCCAACACCAGATGGGTTCGGCAAAACATGTCCTTCCCTTATAATTCCATATACAACCTCATTTATTCGGCACTCTTCTTGTCATATCACTATTATCAGTAATGTAACGTGCCATACCACATCAATCTATCAATCCCTCTCTTCTCATTTGCTGCTGCCACTTTCAAATTTTCCATAGTATACACAATTTTCCTCGTACCAATTTTACACATTCTGAACCTCGCGAATACCTTGCCATTAAACATACAGAGGGCTGCCTATCGTATTTCCAGATCAAGATTACGATCCTGTTACGGGGTCTTAATGTCTCTTAGTAGAATGCATTGTGCACTATTCGGATCTTATCAATTCTAGCCCCAGCGCTCATTCATATCAACATCCGTATCTCTGTTGCATTCTTCCGGCGTGGCCCTCTACCGGTCTATGTTAGCAGACTGGATTGAAGATGCAAAAATGTATGCAACCGTAATAAAGTCCCCTTTAAAAAGATTTCCATCCACATTCCTAAAGTTATGAAGCGCTCAAGGGGCAACAGGAATGAACGCCGTTTACGCGACGCAAAGTTATGACTCAAACGAAGGGGCTGTTTGCTCGAATATCACTTTGTGAGCTCGCAACCGTTTATGGAGTGAGTAAAGTGACTTGGATGTATTGACTTTATTTAGGATTCACTATCTCATATAGACTCTTTATTATTTGTTTTAAAGGGCGAGATCAATTGTGAAATACAATATGGGATAAAGAAATGGGCGAACGTTTTTATATTGCTGACGGGTTAAATAGATTTAGAGCCATGTTAGCTTAGTGATTGGAGCGTTTGCCTTATTACTCGGGCGTCCTGAGTTCACATACGCTACCGGCACCGAGATAATTGTATATTAGTATAACATTTTTTTTAAATTATTTAAATAAATGTTGGTCCAACACGTGCTGGTCGTTGAATAAAAACCGACCCGAAAACCATTCTAACCAAAAAAAAGAAACTATAGTAAAGAGAAGAATCAAGAAAGAATTGAAAATGTTTCGAAACAATAACTTAGTATCAAATTATTTTCACTCCAGTATTCGTTTTTTTTCCACGCATGCTATATATTAATATATCTGAATTTTACTTCACACCAATCTCGAAAGGCCATTGACACATGATTTTAAACCATTCTCATTAATTATATTAATTATTTGCGTGTAAAGAAAGGTTTAAAGGATATTGAATAAAAACTTTTAATGTATTTCAAAACTTTTTAATCCTTTTAAACCCGTACGAAAATCTTAAAAAAAAAAGAACGTTCCATTTTAAAAAAAAATATCATTCTAGTGCCGTATCTCAACCAATCGCGTTACGATATCGAATAGACTGAAAGGGCAGTCATCCAGGTATTTGTCGCAGTCTCCATTCTGACCGTCCAATTCCGCTTCGTAGTAGGCGTCGTCGATGCTCTCCTCACGTGAAGACGATGGCCTGTGAATTAGACGTTATCACTACATAGTGTAAAACAAAGTCGTCCCGCTGTCTATCTGTCCCCATTTGTGCTTAGATCTTCAAAACTACGCAACCATCTAGATGCGGTTTTTTTACTGGATAGAGCAATTCAAGAGGAACGTTTATGTGCGTGATACATTGCACCCGTGCGAAGCCGGAGCGGGTCGCTAGTAACAAGGATATAATAATACTTATTTTATCCGTGGGAAGTTTATAAGTGGCGTCATCGTTCACTGAATTGGAATGTAATAACCTGCAATAATTTATCAATAAAAGGTGAGCCGTGATACAGTGTCTGGGCGCTCGCTTTTATAACTCTTTTTTTTAAATTCAAAACTGGCCAGCACTTGACTGCCATCCCGTAAGTGGCGATGCAGCCTTTGATGTTAAGCGCGCTAGCTCAGTAAAAACCTACTTTAACTGTTGCCTTGAAGACGCCTACGTTATAGTCGGACGGACTCTGATCGGACCCAATATAATCAAGAAACCTGAGTTGCAATCCGGGTACAAGCACCAATGAAATTGTTAATTTTAAGTGCGGAATTACCATGTATCCTGTGTTGAAAGGAAACATCGCGAGGAAGACTGCATATTTTAATTAAATAATAATAAATAAAAGAATATTTCGACGATATGTGAAGTCCGCCAATCCGCAGTGGGGTCGCGTGGTAGACTATGCCCTAATACTCTTTATACAAAGGAGGATATTTTGCCCAGCAGTGAGACTTGTATACGCTGTTACTTTACTTTACTTTTACTACAGTGAAAGGCATCTTATTTTTAAGAATAACACAAATGTTCAATAGATGGCATTATTATGTACGATATCTTCAAAAGAAACAGACACACGTATTAATATAAAAAAAAAAACACTTAAGTAGTTTTCGTGTTAATGAAAACAATAATCTGTAATTTAGTTTTAGTTTATAAGAATTAAATAAGTATTATATTCAATTTGAAACAGAGAGAAGAGCGAAATTGATTTTATTGTAAACTAGCGATTTGTCCAGGATTCGCACGAATAGCAGAGCATACACATAACTACTAACTACGAGTACACGTCTTTCTTCACTGGCTCGAGTTTAATCTGCGCGGCATTTTTTTCCTATATCTCAAAATACTGCTAAGTCATCTTCGGATTTCAGGCAATTTACACCAAATCTTAATGAATTCTATCTGCACATTCGTCATGAAAAATCCATTAGTGAACGGCAGACATACGTGGCTTGGTTTTATAATGTGTAGTGATGTATTTCTTGCTATTATTCGCATTTAAGGTTGTCTATTCGTATAACGAGAGAAAAACGTTATTAAAACAATATAGATTCTTTTTTTAATAAAAGTTGTACAGTTACTTAAGCTATTAACGATGGAAACCCCCGTAATATTTTAATTAAAACTAGTGTAATGACAAACTTTACGTAGGTACACAACTTTACATCATTCACGACATTCTAACACTTGACGACTTTTTTATCATCGGCTGTCATCTGGCAACGGGAACGTAATGGCCGCATTTAAAATTCGACCGTTCGCCGCGTTCCATGTTTGAAATTTGAAATTTCCCGCGCGACGTTGATAGCCGAAGCAATTCCGTACTCACGTGAAAATTATGTGCATAATGTGTCCCAGGAGACCGTTGTGGTGCAAGGGGGTCTCCGCCGCCTCGCAGATGTTGCGCAACAAACACTCTTTGCCGTTCATGCCGTGCCTGAAAATATTTCGAATATTTTAAATTCAAAACGCTTAGCCGGCCCCAGCTTCGACGTCTGAAGGAAATATGCATATTTTCTAGATGAATTTTGTCAGGCGGGAATCAACTACGGTTTAATTTGCTTCACGGTTTGGAATGATTTTACGAAGATTCTCTGACTCTCGTAATTTGATACAAGGTTGTTAAGTTTATTAAATAATGTATTTTTGTATAAACAAGTTTCTTTTTTGTTAATATAGGTAATAAATGATTAAAGCTTAATTAAACACGACACGTCTTTTACATGGCCCAATTTTCAAAAGGTTGTCAACGCATCTGTAACCTTCGGGTGTAGCAGATGTCCATGGGCGGCGGTATTCACTTAGGTATACATCAGGAGAACCATCTGCTCGCTTGTCAACTTTTCACATAAAAAAACATAAGGTTTACATGTTCGTATATGATTCCCTGCATCTTTGTTAGATATTTTGATAATACATATTTGGTTCTTTTTAAAATTTTCATCTTTGAAACTTGTTTTAACTCCACGCATATCGATCTCATTACAAATATACGAAAACAAATTTAGTTTTGGGTACAAAACACATACCTACATTTGAAAAAAAAAAGGCCAATTGTTTGTCGCAATGCAGATGAATCTTGCGCGAGTTGCGCACGTTACATTAAATTCCTACAGCTGATTTTAACATACAGAGGAGTATATAAAGCCTAAATAAAAGCCGTATTAAATATATCTCTTGTCGAATCGTTTAGAACATTTAATTTCATATTTAAATTCCACAGTTCAATCATAACGAATCACCAAAGATTTTGGCTGAATATGAAAATAGTATTGGTGCAAAGACAAGGTATATTTAATACAAATGTTAAAACGTACGATTGGTTTCAATATTCAATCTACATAATTATAGATTTGGTTATGTGATATAGAATTTTGATGTAAGTGGTTTGGAGATTATGTCAAAATTCTGTCTCCAGAAACCAAATCACCGTTGACACCGGTCGTAAGTAATTTAACAGGTTCCTTAACGCGATGAATTGACCGACATTGATAAATGATTGGTGAATTTCGACGAATATAAACATTGATGTTAGATGAGACAATGTATGTAATATATTTACAAAATATGTTTGGGAATAATTTGCAAAAGAACTCAAGAGAGAAAGAGCTAGAAACGAAGAGAGAGATGGTGAGAGAATGCAGTCATACTCACTCTTTGAATCGGGCTTCGAGTACAGTGTATGCTAATTCCCTCGTTATACTCCTGCTGTGGCGGGAGCTGATGATCTGAAATAGTACGCATGGAAAATGTTATTTCAAACAATTTGTATTTTATTTAAAAAACCGACATTGTCTGTTTGACAAAAAAGACAAAGGGTGTTTTTAATTAAGTTTGAAGTTTCAAAACCCCACTTACTTATGGAAAAAAATGGTTAAATCGCTTACGACATTTTTACCAAACAAACAAACGGACAAAACACGCAGGACGAATCTTTGCTAAATTCTAAGCCGTAGTTAAAGATTCAAGTCGAAAGCACATTAAAGTGAAAGGCGGAAATATAAAAATCCAAGTTATAAGAATACTAGGTCAATATCTCAATTTTCAGCATCGTTTTTGCTCTTTAGCTTCTTGGTGATGGTTTTCAGGGAATCAATAAGTGGTTTGGTATTCCTCTTTTATCGTTAGCATTCCTTATTGATTAATGATCGGACTTGATATATTAGACCCTAGGGTCAATTTAAAAAAATGTTCATATAAAGAAAGAAAGAGATTTATTTGACATAAAACAGACTGACGTACACAACAATCATTTAAAAACAATAAAAATTAAACAAAAAAAAAAACATGAACATAAAACTGCAATAAGCATATTTTCCCTTTTCATTATAGTACGTCGCGGTTCATGCCAAAAAGGACATCACTCAGCAGAATGTTGCAGTGAAACTGCAACGTTCATATGAGACAAGTCCGTAATTTTATTATGTGTTCACGCTTTTGGACTTACCGGTAGATTAGGGAATATTACTTCATCGAGCTCGGTTATGTTGGTCACCACACTGTAGTTGGACTCGAAGTTGTATGAAACGAAGACGTTCTTGTCGGGAATGTCGATGGGCACCGCAATGGCCACGAACGTCTGAAAAACAGTACTAAACTCTTTAATAAGCTGTGAAATACTAAGTAACTTTTTAACAATGTGGGATGTCGTTTGAAGAATTCATGTGGTTGAGCCACGCAAGCTTGTTCGGGAATTACCACGGACAAACTTGCAACAACAAAAACTGTTGCGTGGCCCTACCCCAGTTACAGCTGTTGTGCTTTTGCGTAAAGTTTGATGAGTTAGTTAAATGGTGGTAGGGCCACGCAGCAGTTTCGGTTGTTGGACGAATGGCCAGCCCATTCCTCGTCCGGGTAATTACCACGACCTCACAGAAGACCGGCGTAAAGTGGTAGTATAACACATTCGCGTTTCGTCTGGTGAGTGAGGTGGCCGGAGCCCAATTTCCAAAAGGTTGTCAACGCATATGGAACCCTGAGGTGTAGCAGATGTCCATGGGTGGCGGTATTCACTAAACATCAGGTGAACCGTCTGCTCGCTTGGCAACTTTTAACATAAAAAAGAACCAGGGCCCAGTCCTTCAAGGTTGGAAACGCCAATTCATATCCTACAGGTATTATAGACTGCCATGTGCGTTGGTCAGCACTTGATATCAGATTACCAGCCTGCTTTCTTGCCGCCTTCACACGTTATAAAAATGAACACAAAATAAACTATGCCACTTTTTGTCGTCAGTACCTATCATTTCGATTCTTTTTATAAATTTAATTAGTATGAAATTTGTTATTTATATAAACATTGACTCACCCCATATAAACTTGTAGGTGGGAATATGAGAGCTCTTTTCTGTATATCGCCTCTTCCCGACGTCGATGTTACAACGATTATCCTATAATAAGGGAAGGGTTGTGTGAAAAATGTTGATTTTGCCCTAAGATAGATTTCGAAATAGACAAACTTACGAAATCTCAATGAATATAGATGTCCTGTTGTGAGGACATTTATGTTCATTCAGCTTTTTTTTAATTATTAAAATTAAAATACATCTATTTGCAGATCTCATTATTAATATTAACTAATTCACAATTCAAACAATACTCTTGGCATGGTGCCCAGTAGGCTAGCTGCAATTCCCTTTGAGCGGGAAGAGACTCGGCTCTCTAGTGACCAACCACGTATTGAATTTTAATCACTTAATTTCCGAAGAAAGTTTTAGAGATTAATATAATATTCAAAACGTAGTAGCAAATTTGAAAGCATGAATTAAGAGAGCTGGAATTAATTCCTTAGAAACATTAATACAACAGTAGTCAATACGATTATCTACATATACGATTATTTTAACAAAATAGGTATAATAGATAAAGCGGTTGCTGAATAATACAGTTCAGTTCACTCTCAACTTACAACAAAACGCAGGCAGTTTGTTTTGAGTACATTATAAGCCCTTAACACAAACTTTACACTCGAAAGGCAAATACTCTGATGCGCGCGCACTCTCCACTTTTTTTGAATGCTCTAAACGGTGTGGGATCGTGCCTTACTTACTGTATTTGCTTGCGTGAAAAATTATCATCCGACCGCTAAAATACTGTGCGTCTTTAAGTAAACGCGAATGTGAAATGTCCAAACCCTCGCAGCAGCGAAAAAATTTTCTTCCATTTTTCTACAGTTTTTTAAATGTTGAGCTCTTTTTTTGCGTGAGAGATCGGTCTTTAAACTAACCAGTTTTTTAAAAATATATGCCACATACTGATGTTGAAGTGGTTGGTGAAAACCCATAACCTCAGTAAAGTCTTTGCCCCGTGCGCTGTTAAATGGCAAATTTTCCTTCTAAAGTAAAATTTGAGTGCGGGTGGTATAAATGCTATTGCTTCGGTTATAAGTTTCAACGCAAATCTTTGTCTAATCTTAAAAAAAATACTTGTTTCATTAACGAAAAACAAAACCGACTTGAGTTATCTCGCTCTGTATTCATTTTATAATTGTTTTTCCGGAGTTCCCTACGTCTCCTCTCTGGAGCCCATGATCTAATACGAATGAAATTAATATAAACCACATGGGAAGCACCAGCTTTCAAATAAAGAATCATCAAAACCGGTTCATCCAGTCGAAAGTTCTGAGGTAACAAAAACTTTAACTTGAGAACCTCCATCTTTTTTGAAGTCGGTTGAACATATATAGAAAGGACGCAATCTGTTCCGTTGCATAGATTTTAGGCATCTGCGATCCCGCTATGTGACAATGAGCTGACCGCGGATAGTGAAATGAGCCACTTCAGTCGCTAATTGCCTCGAAACCGTCGGTCCCCAACATGGGTCGGCTAGACAATGTGAAATTCGATTTTTGTTTAGCGCCAAAACCGTTTGACCGGGTTTCGGGGTATGCATGATCGTTGTGTTAGATAGACTTTGATTATTATGATTATCTTTGTTGATAACGTAAATGTTACAAGCAACATTTTACGTTTCTAATAACCTATAACATGCATTGGAATGGATTATGTTAAGGGCTCAGTTCGAACAGTACAGTAAAAAGCCATTCCGGCCTAAATTAGTTCTGTTACGTGTATAAGTAACGAGATGGCTTTCAATAATTAATTTTACTAGTAGTTTGATTCCGAAAATTGTTTATATGGGAAAGTAAGATCATAACAATAACACCATAAAACTCACTCGTGTACTCCATTCGCATTAAGGTAGTCAATTTCATTTTCACCATTACCTGTAATCAGATTTTCTTCGTGCGAAAGTCGACGACCAAATAAATAATGCCAGTTACTTTCTATTTTACCTCCACTTTCGATCTTATTTTCATAGAGGTAAGGTCAGAAATTGAAATTTTGGAGTTTTTTAACAGCAGTACCACAAAATTGTCGTGGTAAAATCTGGCTTTGTCTTTCCTTGCGTGTGTAAGCGTAAGGTTAATATCAATGCTTAAATACATTTTGAATTAGCGTGGTGAAAGTTTTAGAATACGATTATAGAGAATATATGATTCGACATCAATAACCCTGTTGCGTTGTTATACATAATTAATTTAGTTGTAGTATATCCGCCATACGAAAGTTTTTTTGAAAATGTTTTGGAATACTTGCATAGAAACCGCAAAATGATTGATTCTTATCCGCATTCTTAATGTTATTCTGAAGAAGGATAAAATATAACCAAAAATCTTTCAGCATCACAAAACCAAGTCTTTCATTTCAGAATATGGTTAGTAGTAAGTTAAAGTGTTTTTCTGCAATTTTAAAGTAAATTTCAAAAACTATTTTATTATCATGCGTTTTTTTAATTTTTAATGTATCTTTCTATCAAATACGCACCAAAATCACTCACAGACCAACGAAAATTGGTTAGTTTGAATAAAAAATTTTAATGATAACATACAGGTGTTACATTCTAAAACTGAACCTATCTATGTATGTATATGTGTAATGTCAGATTATATTCAGTTTACGATTTACATATTTTAGCAGTGGCCATTGGCCCCTTAAAGCTCGTACAACCGATAACCGATGTTAAAGAAAGCTTCTCGAGTGCGAGTCTCGTATTGGCCATCGCAGTGTAAGACGACACCCTGGTACATGTACCCACCCGTGTACATATGCGGGATATCGATGGATGCATGTGGCTCAGATTAGTGTTTGGTGGCAGTCTGTGATGGAGACCATGTTTAGTGATGAAAATTTCATGTTAAAATAAGCAGTGCCTTCGAAATTTGTTTTCTTCGCACCCTTATATACTTAATAGCGAATAGCCCAACCCGCCTTAGCACGGGCGCAATGCTGCATGTTTGTTTCCGACATCGCATTAGAAACCTCTAAAATTATTAGTGTTTCTCTACTATATTAAGTATCAATTATACATATAAACCTTTTTCTCAATCACTCTATCTATTAAAGAAAACTGCATCAAAATCCGTTGCGTAGTTTTAAAGATGTAAGCATATATAGGGACAGACAGACAGCAGGATGACTTTGTTTTATACTATGTAGTGATAGTGATATATAATCACAAGTATTTCGTTTTTATAATTATACGCTTCCCTGGGCCGTTGTAAAGCCGTTTTAAAGGGCTAATATCTATTAAACAGTGTAACTATTAAACCTATTAATAACTATTAAACTTAATGCTTTGTGAATTTCTAATTTCGAACTGATTTACCTATATATTAATATGTGAAGCAAAAACTTTGTATCTCTTTTTTTAGAAATTTGGACGGACGGAGGAGTATGGAATTTCCTACACTTATAGTTTATATAGAGAAGTAGTGCAGAATGTTAATATTTTTTTTTAATTATGCATAAAAAATACATTCCACACACTACCATGTATTTGACACTCACACGCATATAATATTTAATTTTGTTTATTGTATATAGTAGATTATGAATAGATTAGTATTGTTCAAACTTATAATTTGAATTGTGTGTAGTACAGGTATCGATGTAATTGTGTCGGTGTAGCACTCTAAGCCCTGCTAAGCGTAGAGCAAACATTTGCGAGCCCGTATTGCAATGATAGATCGCATTCAAATTCAAACATCATCTGGGTGCCTTTACCAAATCTCCGTTTTAATCAGCGCTTTACGAATAGATATGCGACCTATCCATGCGTTCTATGCAAAAGGGCCTTAAAAACGATTTCTACATTTGAGTAAGGCTCGTTCTCAGTTTAACTTATTGAGAAGGAGCTAAAATATGAAATATGTTGTTTGAGCTATAGCCTTTATTGAATTAAATGTTTGAAACGTGTCAAAGATGCTAATTTTAAATTTTATCACTTTTTTTTGTTAAATGTGCACTGGTTCTTTGGTATGCATATAGTACAAGATGGTTATTAGGTTTTAAAGCCAATTTACAAACAGTACCTATTGTTTCGAATCTCAATAGACGGTGTTTTTATGAGGAAAACCATTGTTGTTGAATAGAATCATCTGCTTTAAAAGTAACGCCGTGACATTGATGCAGTAACAAACCTTTTCCTGATCGTGTCTCATCGCAGACCTGCGAATAACAACAAGCCTTTGTATCTTATCCTGATGACAGCATCAGGCATGTCGGAAAGTATTAAATGCACAGATAAAATGTCCACAACATTTTGTTTGACCGCTCGATATCCTCTTCGGTTTAGCACCTGCCATCTACTTTTCACCATGACAAGGGTTGACTGGCAGAGAATGCCATTAGGCATTAAGTCCGCCCACTGTAGCCTTTAACCTAAGTTGTAATAATGAAGTATAAATAAATAAATAAAATAAATGAAATATATATCCGAGTATGAGCCAGAGTAATAAACGGCTAGCCTCCCGGTCTCCAGGGGTGCAAATGGTCAGCTGCAGTTTCAGCCGCGGGATATAGGGATAACGGCTTATCACAATACCAATAGTGCTCTCCCCAGCGGCCCTATCCCTTCTGCATCTGCCCGCCCAGTCCCCGAGGGCAGGGAGTGTTCAAACGCAGTACCAACGCTCCTTTTCCCCCATTAATCCACCGAAGTAGCAGAGAACAGGGAATTGACTTGTCTCTACCAGCTCGAACTGACTGCCACACCTCACTAGCACGCTTCCAAGGAGCCGACTCGGAGCAGCTCTAGCCCTACACCACAGACCGGCCCAGTGTGGGTTCATCTTGGCTTCACCGAGGGGGAGCAAGCCACGGCTACCGAGCCCATCGAGCCCGTCGGGTTGCCCACGAGTGACAACGCGACAAGGTGACATACCCGCTTGAAGTAATTAATCCTTACTAATATTATAAAGGTGAAAGTTTGTATGTATGTATGGATGCTTGTTACTGATTCACGCAAATACTACAGAATGGATATTAATGAAACTTTACAAAAATATAGCTTATACATCAGAATAAGACAAAGGCTATAATTTATACATATATTTTATGTATATCTCTTTTTCTGTCTGAATGTTACGCCTACAGCCTATTCTACGCAGACGTAGTCGCGGGCAGCAACTAATAGAATAACTACGCCATCCCAGAAGGTGGTGGCAATTTCCTTCAATGGCCTTTTTCTTTTTCTATCCAATGCGTACATGGATATCCATTAGATAGTAGTAATATTACTAAACGCGTCGTGAAGTCTTGCAACAGTAAAATAAAACAATATTAAAATATGTAAAGATACTTGAATTTATCAATGATTCAATCTTATATAGTTTTTATAATATAATGTAAGAGATGGTCAAATGGTTATGGTTATAGTCTATGGTTCATGGTTGTTCCGATAGACAATCCGATAGATAGACATTTATATAAAGATGGAACTCTATCAGGTAAATCGATTGTTTGTGAGCACTCGCGTAGTGCGGAAACTCTGCTGGATCGCTAATCTAACTGTAACGGACGTATTTCGTGTTCGTAACATTTTTAGGTGTTTTTAGTCAAATTTCCTTTACAATAATGAAACAAAAATTCAATAATTATCTACTTTATAAAAATGTAAAGATCAGCATAACTTAGTTCAGACTAAGGCAAATAAGAGTTCAGTTTTTCAACCGTCGACAATGGTCGCGACAAATTTAATGAAATCCTGTTTTTCAGCTCATATCTCATATGGTGACTGACTCGCCCCCAGTTGTCGTTTGGGACTACGGCACCGTATGCCTTAAAGAAGTGTGGCCTCGAAAAATTAGCGGAAGTAGATTTTTTTAAGATCGTTATTACTTATTTACCTCGGACTCTTCGGTTCTTAGCTATGTTTGCTATTATTGTTATTAACTGAGCCGAGCTTAGGTTTCTTCAACCAGGCCTAAGTAGACTTTCATTAAATGATGATGTTTTATGGCATATTTTTGACTATAAATTCGCCTTAAAGCTCTACTTTTAAAGTTTCGCCTTTTTAAAATAATCATGTGCTTATGTTGGTATGCACTAAGATTAATCAAATTGCCTAATTCGCCGTTCGCACGCCATCTATTGGATTAAGGTTTAAACATTCAGCCTTAGGCTGACTTATCTTGCGTTTAACGTCTTATATATGGAAGCGTAGATGGCTCTGCGTGATTACTTTACAAAAAAAACACCGATATGGATACAGGTAACTCTAAAGTTTATTACAAGACTGTAAGGAAATATTACATTTGAAACAGATACACACAATCAATAGTTATTATTTTAATAAGGCCTTGATACTAGTTACTGATTAAAATGTATAATTTAAATGTTTGTTTTGAAAAGTTATTGTTGTGTTTTATATATAGGTACTTCTTTAATCAGCATATACGAAGGAGATCATTGTGAAAATAGCAAGAGCTCCTATTCTTTATTCCATTGGCTTGTTCATAAAATAAGGATAGTATTTGGTCTGGTGGGAGAAGCGTTTCAACTAGCTCTTCGTTTAAGAGTGTTGTGTAAGTAGATTTTATTAAATTATCATAGTACGTTACCCTAGTCATTGCAAATATGGAAATGCATTATTACAGAGAAACGTAATCTATTGCGTTACACGTTTCTTATTTATTAATTTTAGTATCTCCCGAGGAGGAGGTAAAGCTCGAGTTTGGTTTTTTTAAGGAATAAACAAGGATAGGATATTGTAAAAGAGTGCTAGATCTCATTTTTAAATTATAGCTTTCTGATATTTGCTAACGGAATATTTCGATGTTTAGCAGAGGGATAGGTATTTTGATAATGACTTTTGTGTATTTATCTAACAATAGGTGAAAGTGGAATGCACCCGCTAAGAGATTTATTACTATCCGCCAAAAACTTACTCGTCGTTTTTAATATTTCGCTAATAATGTTTGAGCCACGATTCTCGTTGAAAATGCAATGGGTTTCAAAAAACGTAAGTGTAAGTAAAAATCAAAATCGGCTCAATCAAAATCACGACTAGTCATGATTTTGATTCGATGAGCCTAGGCTCATTTTTCTGCCCAATTTATAATGATACAAGTGGTTAATATTTCGGTATAATGTACACGATATTGGAGCTCAAACAGTATTAATGTGTAATTGATTTATCACTTATCATTATCATTTGCATTTCATTAAAGAAATATTCATGTTTAAATACACAATATAAATATAATTCATATATAATTACAATTGACGGTCACATTCACACACAAGTTTAGAACTGCTTAAAAGACTCCTCAAGACTATTTATGCGTAGTTAGGGAAGAACAGCACGTATGCGTTATAGCGTGTTTTGTATGGCTCCAATAATATATAACACTAGTGACCCGCCCCGGCTTCGCACGGGTGCAATGTATTATACATATAAGCCTTCCTCTTGAATCACTATCTAGTAAAAAAAAAAACTCATCAAGATCAGTCCAGTAGTTTTAAAGATCTAAGCACACATAGGGACAGACAGACAGCGGGACTTTGATTTATTCTATGTAGTGAAGATAGCAACCAATAAAAAGTACTTAAGTATTTTACATTTTAAAAATATTTTAGCTAATCCTTTACGATAAAAGTTATTACTCTTTGATATTTATTCATTACTTCTATAGACAAAATGAAAACAACAGTCTCGTTTGTTGAAATATATATTTGACATCACTGAGATTAATTTTATTATGGTTAATTTTAATTAAATTTTATCAAATACCATAATTATGTTGGTTCCTATATGGTATTTGATAAAATTTCAATCCTAACGGTGATTTCATAATTTTTTTGTATCCTAAAAATTTTACTACAATATGTTTTTTAAATATAACTAAGAAGTATAATCACGACTAACACATGTTTTTTTTGTTTTTGTTAAAATGTATATATTTTGTTAAGAAAAGGTTGGATAGGCCTATTATGACTATTTACAGCGCCTTTACAACATTATTTCAAGACACCATTAAACACATAAATAAATTTCATACTTAAGCTCCAATTGAAATCAGTGGGCACGACCACACCTTTATGTGTGAAGATCATATGAGTACGCAATCTTAAGAGTGAGAACGGAAAAAAGGGTCGAGGGCCGTCGCTGGACACCCGATTGGAACGAAGCACCTTTCTTTGTGTCCACTTTTTCGGACGAGCTCTCATTTACCAAGTGTGTAGAGTGTGACGTGCGATAAAGGGGAACGGACTCCGAAAGAAATACGAATCGATACACGAAATTTCCATTACGATCCTTAACAAATGCGAAATTGAAGCGAATTTCGCGCGACGTTCACGTATCCTAAAGCTGTGCGAACTCATCGCGTCACGAACGACGAACTTAGACATTCGTATATTGCAGGATAGGATGCCGGGTGTAAGCAATTTAGCAGCATACAAATATTTGCAGCGCTAGTCGCAGTACGCGCCGCATGGCAGAATGCGGGGTTTTGATTGAACGCCCGCACGCAGATCTGCACATATTCTGTGTGGAAATATGTGCAAATTGCACATAAATATGTGCAATTGTACGTGCGTTCATGGCGTGCTAAATGTCTGGTAATGTTTTTTAATGAACTATCTAAACTGTGTTATTTTATCGTATAATATATATTTATAGTTCTCTAATGGTTGTATATTAAAAATTTATGTTATCCAACAATTTAAGAACTGTGGTCTGCCTATTGCCACTTCAATTCGCAAATGTCTAATGTGCTATGTCGATCATTCTGGTTCTTTGGCAAATTTCCGCGTTCCGCTCTATGTCACGGAAAGAAACGAACACAGCTCTCTCAGTAGTTCATTGTGTTATTCTGGCTTCTCTAAAGAGCTTGTGAAGATCACGTCTCAGCTATACGTCATCAGTGGCAACACACAATGGTTATACACCCTTGTCTTCAGACACTGCGAGTCGTGGACGGGAAAATATCGCGTGATTTCTTTTTATAGTCAATCTATAGTCTGTTTAAAAGTATAGTAGGCGTCGGTCTAGTAATACTAAAAGGCATAGTCCACCACGCGGCGAATTGGCGTACTTAATGTTCACTCAAAAATATGGATATTTCCTCACGATGTTTTCCTTCACCGCGGAGCACGCGATAAGGTTGCACTTAAAATTACCTATTTTATTGATACCGGCACCGGCAACCGAACTCAGGTTGCTTGAGTAAATTGAATTAAAGGTATAGCGTAGTATTTGATTTTATCTATATCTTCTATTCATCGTTAAAATATATATTTTGATAAATAACTTAAAATGTTAAATTAAAAGTCCAAATATTTAGGTAATTTTTCATTTTATTTCGTTTATTTAAAAAGTTTTTAAAGGAATACATTATGATGTCTATGAGGTGTTCCATATCGGTACATTCATTTAATTATGATATTGGATGCCTATATCTACTGATTATTAGAAATGATAATCCACAATTTAAAAAAAAATATTGATTGCACTGGAATTTTAACTTCTCTGGTACTAATATTATCAATGGAACTATGTTAGTGGACACACTTGAGATAAATTTCAAATAATAATTAACAAGTTAATAATTACAAGGACTGGAAATTTTTATTACGGTACGAATTATTCCTAAGTCATGGATTTTTATAATCTTAATATTCCCAAAGACCCTCGCTCATTAAAGACTGTTCTAGCGATAAACAAGTCATCAAAATCAAATCTGTTTACTTTTTGCATTACGATTGAACAAAGGACTGACGTACATACATACATAAAGCTCAAACACATAAGCCTTCTTTTTTGGATTCGACGCAGTCTGGTCTCCTTGTTTAATTAATATGCATGGTTATAAGTTCTAAAGGGCTATTTGGGCAGTGGTCAATGTAGCGGTAGCAGTTTTCCTCTAATCCGTAGTACTCTGCTTCGTAATAAAAATCTTCTACATCGTCCTCGGATATGGAGGCCGATGGTCTGCGAACAAATGTTTTCAATCAAGTGACAATCGGAGCATGTTTTGTGGCATGCATTTTTGGCAATGGCTTAACGTGGACAACCATGGTCTTTTTAACAATGTTTCTTTCAATTATTAAAAATAATTTAGCGGTCATGAAAGTATCACTGCGGTGACCAGTCACCGCAATAAACCTATTATTGGACAACATGCACAGGCACGTGCAAGACATTTCGTTTTCCGTATAACCAATCCAAAGAATAAAATGTTAACTGATATGCGATTCGTAATCGATTGAGTTCCGAAGGTTAGATCTGCGTCTTCTGAGCCAAGTTTTATAAGTCACCGCAAATCATGATAACTAATGGAATTAGGGAATGGAAAAGGTAATTTTGTGTGTTTGAATGAAAGATTTTTTTTTGTGAGAATAATTGGTCGTGTAGGCAATATGACTAGAGCTTCAGCGAATCCCGACGTGAGTTCGATTCCCACAGCGGCTAAAAACTTTTCGTTCCTTTTTTCTGCAAATTTGACGTAAAAGTATGATGTTAATAATGTAACGCAATAAACTAAAACTGAGTAAACAGTACCTCTTATACTTGTGAGATTAAACGAGTCCAGCATAACGCTAAATAACGCCAACGTAAGTTTTAAAAGAAAACTTACGTAAGTATGAGGTGAAGCACGTCTCCCAGTACGCCGTTATGCCAGAAATGCGAGGTGGTGCCCTCGCAAATAGCTCTGAGCAAGCAAGCCCGCCCCGCGTAGCCGTGTCTGCGAGCGAAAATGGCCCGATTACTGCCTCGGAACGTAGATCCTTAAAGATTAATATCCTATAAAACTGTAAGTGGAAAACCCGATAACTGGAATTTCTAACACGCCTTTTTTTCTAAAGAGCAGCCTGCTATTTACACTCTGAGCGTAGCTGCGAATTGAATTCCTGTTTGCTTAAGCCTTGCAACTATTTCGTTTAGAATTGTTGTAAATTCGCCGACGATACATGTATTGAAGATGTATTGAGCGCAGCATTTTCGACTTCATATATTGTATAAAATATCTCAGGAACTATAAATTCTGGAAACCTGAAAGGCGGCGTGAATGCTCTTTATAGCTTCGGGCGCCCGGTAAGAGCGAATTTTGTGAAAATCGACGAGATAGACTGGATGATGGAAATTTAGTTTACATAAAGGTCTTATTAAGTACAGAATTTAAAAAAAAAATAAGAAAATAGTGCACGTACGCGTAATAGTACAAAAAATGTATCTGTAGAATTTGTACATATATCGAAGAAGTCATTATTTAGCGACACCAAGTCAAAGTTAAATAACTTCACTTTAAAAAATTATTTGTACCGATAGACGTGGAGCCAATTAAACATCTAGGTCAGTTTACAATACTGGGATATTTCAAAGATACTTCGCTTACTGAACTGTTTTAGTTCGTGAGGCATTCAAAGGACTTGTTGGAGAGGAATGAATGCTTTAGAAAAGATTGGCTCACTTTTTAACACGAATCTGATCTTTAAATGAAACCCTTTCGTGAAACTACCCTTTGCAACAATTTTGTAAGTAATGTAGGACGAAACATAAATAAAAGTTGTTATAGTACTTTTTTATATTTTGATAGTAAGTATCGGCTTACACTTTCGAATATGAAGTTATAACATATACACGTTTACTTTTTTTATAAGGGCAAGAAGATACTGGATCGATCGAAAAAGAAATTAAAAAAATGATATATTTAAATATAACCACAAGGAAAGTACTGAATCTAATTTTCAATAGGCTGAAAATAAAGGAAATTAAACAGTAAATTTAATTGAGACTTCAATTATAAACCTTACGGTTCTTTTTTGTAAGTAGACCAAATGGAGATACTTTATCTGTTCATATGATTTATTTAAGCTGATCTAGTGGGATTAGACGTAAACGATAGTAAGTTTTTGACATGTCTTCAAAATGTAACGTTTTGGGTGGGAATTAGATATACCGTCATAAACTCAAGATTAAGTATGCTGCTGTGAAGATGGAGTCTACGTTTGGGGAAGTATTTGGTATGCTTACCGAGTAAGGCAAACACCCACTAGAGAGGGAGAGTTTCTTTGCAAGTTTTAAGGAAACTGAGAGATTCCAAAGCAATATAATCTTACCTTATTGCAGTTTACTCCATCTGCAAACCCTGTGCTGTGAAATTTGATGACTCCGTGGCATAGTTGCCAAGGTATTAGCTTCGGCCTCGGGGGTCGTGGTTTCGATTCCTACACGGGACAACTATTTTGTGACCCACAGGTAATTTTTTTTGTGAGTGTTGGTCCCCGTAAAATTAATGTTTGTAAAACGTCCTTACAACACAGGATTATGTTGTCCTAAAGTAAGGGCAATGTTTTTAAAAAGAAAAGCGATAAAAGAGAAAGGGAAATTTGTGTGTCGATAAATCACCACGAGAAACGTCAGAAAAGGAAGGCCAAATTAAAAAAAGGTTATTTGAACATTTCCTCGTGTGCTCTAGTGAATACGTAGCTCAAATCATTCAATCATTATGTATGTATGTGGCTTCGTATGCTCGTAATTTATCCGAACCGCTCAGTGAGCCGTGTTCGGCAGCAGAATTACTGGATTACGCAGGTCGGACATGTTGAGGCCGGCTTTATTAGTCTCTAATGCGGCTCCCGCGAAATTATGACTTAGGACAGGGCCGTACTTAGATGTACGTGAACCGAATGGCCGGGTAGTAAAGTCGGATGATAAAAATATTTTAACAGACAATTTCAATACGAAATTAAAATTGAAGTCATGTAAAGTTTAGATTCTGAACGAAACAAAAAGATTCCATTTTATCGCATTTTTTCGAAAATAGTAACGCGTGCTGTTGGCATTGCAAATTAAAAATACAGTAGAATTGAGAGCCTCCTCTTTTTTTGAAGTCGGTTAAAAAATATTCATTTCCAAAATAATATAATTCATGAGGTAAAATAAAATATTTTTTTTAACATTAGTTATGTTCAAAATTTCGCAAGGAACATTTCTGCATCTTGTGCACAGACTTCAGTATAGTTCACAACCAAATAACTCGAATTTTGTTAGATGATTACCAGGACCAGTAGACTAAATTTCTTAAGATAATTCTTTAGGAATAATAGGAAAGCCTTACTAAGATAAGGTCAATGATAATTTTGTTATTTGGAGTTCACAGTTTATTAGTTTGAGTTAACCATTAAACCCTAAGTCATCATATCAAATGGTCATAAGCATAACGCTTCCATAATTATTTTAAGTTTTCTCAACTAAAATGACTCACCGTTGGAACATTTTTTCAATAAATACGTAAAATGATTTTCGGGTAATTATTCCTGGATTTTCATTAGCACTTCGTTGGTTCCGTTTGCCCTCAAACTGAAAATAATGAAACAAGCTTTAATTAAAATCTTAAGGGAAATAGACGTTAATGGCATGTGGCTAAAGAACAATTTGATTATATCCATTGTATGGAAAACAAGAGAGTGATAGTTGAGGTAAGGATTGATTGTGACGAATGTAAATAAATGGTGCGTTGAATCTAATGAGGGGGGTACGGAATAGTATATAATACTTAGTGGTGATGTCAGTGATTGTATGTTCTTCTTGAAGGAAAGATAAGATAGAGACGGGGGAAATATTGCTACGTTACGAAAAGCTGAAAGCTAGTTCTAAACTTCATCAAGTTTAACAAATATTATACCGATATCTGTCTAAAATATGCAATCATATTACACTTACTATTACCTACCCCTATTACCACTTCCATTACCCTGTTACCCACTTATCGTCACCTGAGAATGCTGAAGATTTGGCAAAGTGGAATAGTATGTAGGAAGGCAGACCCTAGCAATAGCCGGGATTAATGCCAAGCACAAGAAGAAGAAGAAGAAGATTACACTTACTATTATATCACCAAGTAAGGGTTCGAGGTAAGATGCGTTGGCCACGTTGTAATAGTTGGCTTCGAAGAACCATGAGACGCTCACAGTGGACTCTGCTTCTATTGGTATCGATATAGTTGCGAAGACCTGGAGAAGACACACGATAAGCAATCATCATGAAGAATCGTTCTCCAGCAAAATCAAAAAAATGAAAAATCATTTATTCATCGACATAAGAAACTTACATTTCACCTATCGATACTCATTTTTTTTAATTTACCACCATTTCAATCTACCACCGTTTCGTAATGAGGTTCCTCTAGCGGGGAAGAAACAGGCGAAAGAAACTCCGTAGGTATCCTCTTTTTTGTAATTCATTTCTTTTTCTTATAAAGAAAAAAAAAAAACTAGCACCGAATAATCAACGGTACGATTGATGATGATGATGATGAAGCGTACATTATCATCATCATTTCAGCTTGTTTGAGTCCACTGCTGAACATAGGCCTCCCCCATAGAGGAAGCACGATCCCGAGCCACCTGCATCCATCGACTTCCCGCACATTTGCACAAGTCGTCACTCCATCTCGTGGGGGGTCGTCCCACACTACGATTTATGCTTAAAGTGCCCTAATATAGCTCGAGAGCATTTTGAGTTTGATAATCAGGTTCCGAAAACAATGAAAAATAAATGAACTGGAAAATTGCGAATACTAGGACATAATTCCTCTCAAATTCAATTCTTCATCTGCATAATGCGTTTTATGGCATATATTCGGATGATAGAACTATGTTGTTCTTTCTTCTTCTTTAAGTTATATTGTAAATGCACTTATTCAGCTTTAATAACGTAATGAGCTACATATATTATTAATTTAGAATTATCTTTGCCTCTTGAACAGCGCTGGTTATTATACAATCTGTTTTATGACCAGCCCATTCAATATTGATACCTCTTGTTGTCCATCCATTTTAGCCTATACATTCATTTCAGCGTATAATCCGACAAGGACCGATAATATATCGACACTTTACAAGTCAATATAAAATCATTGCGTTACTTAAGTAAGTGGATTATTTTCGAAGATTAATTTCATCAACCTTTCAATTTTATTTATTTGTACAGATTAAACATAAAGGGTATCTCATGGCCTTTTTTTTGTGAGAAGATGCCAAGCGATCTGGCGGTACACATGATGTTGAGTGAGAACCGCAGACCATGGAATTTTCAACACCCGTAGGGTTTCGAATGCGTTGCCACCTCTTAATATATTAGTAAGGTTGAAGTACATCGATGTAACTATTCACGAGAACTGCTGCCGACAAACTGCATCACAGTTTGGCAGAGAATAATTTATGTTATTGTACTTTATTACTGGATTCATAAATAAAAAAATAAAAAATAAAGTGGGCCCCGGCTACCTCACTCACCAGACGAAACGCAGAAGTATGACACTTCCACTTCACGCCGGTCTTCGGTGAGGTCGTGGTTCTTCATGTTGGTTCGTGGTTCTCAAATGTCTATATGTTACTAATTTGTACAGATTGTTCGTTTTTGTTGATTCGTTTAATTTAATTAACATTTAAGTGAGCAGTGTCAAAATATGTCAGTGTAAAAATTGCAGTGCGTGAAAAGGGCATGTAAGTTTCTGTATACTTCTTTAATGTAACACCTATTTATATAATGTATACTTAGATGGCGAATAAATGATTGATTGATTCTTTCCCGGACAGACCTGCATTCGTGCAACAGCCGAAGCTGTCGCATGGCTCTGCCACAGTCTTTACTATGTTTACTTTATGAACGTTAGAAGACATAATAGAAAAGTTTTAACGTTATTTAATAATTTTATAGAAAAGTTTTGTTTTGCATCCAAAGGCTTCTTAGTTTCTATTTAAATAACACTACTTACGCCCCATTGGGTGTTGGGAGTGAAAAGCAAATATCGCCTCTGTCTCCCGCTCCCGGCGGCATTGTTCTGTCCGATGACCGGCATATACACCAAACAAATTCTGGAATCCGACCACGAGTTACATGAGAATCCTTTCAGTCGTTCATTTCTTTTACATCAGTGAATACTTGAAAGTTGTCATAATACATAAGCATAGAGAACGAGGTTAGTGATCAAAGCGAATAAGTCTTCGCGTTGCAGGAAGGTTTGGCAAATTCCCAAGATTGGCAAAAGGTGATTGTAGAGTTGTAATTGAGAAAGTTATGAATGTTTTATACGGTCATGAATTAAACTGTATTTGAGTGTTCAATGAAACCTTTAAAAACTATAATCGACTTAACAAACGGTTTAGGGTATGTTAGTACTCGGTAAACCAGTGCACTTGACATTCGGAGTACCATTTTTTTGTAACAGGCGGTGGAAAACAACTGTGGTAGGTGATCGCTACGCCATCAAGGTTGTAAAGTGTTAACCTGATCTTATAGAGATATATGCAAAGAAAAAATATTGTATTGATGTCGTATCTTAATAAACATACAAACTATACAAATACATATAAACGTCTACATGCAATAAACACGTCGTGAGAATAAACTTATCAAGATTATGAGAGTTTGTACTTACAGTATTTAAATGATCAAATATAATTGTAATATGAGATTATCATTGAACTAAATAATAGAAAAATGGTTTACGTACATCATTACGAAATGGATAAGCCACATACTAATAACTTTATTTTAAGAAAGCGTCTGTACTGCATGAATTTCGCTATGTGTATGTTTCAAGCAAATTGCTACTACTAAAGATCTACAAATAATCCTAGTGCGAACGTTAATCTATGAAGGAAGTTAGCCACTATTCTGATTGGCTTAAAGTTCATTTCATGACGACATACATGAAAGTTTCCGACTTAGGATTTACGGACGTCTGTGTGAACATACGTGTGGATGATGCTCAACGTTAGACGTCAGTTTGGACAACAAATTTGTTCAACCGACGTCCTAGTGGACCTTGTACAGACAAAGCTTATCGGTTAGTAATCTCGTTGGATTTCTATATGGAATTCTGGTATAATCAGAAAAAAAAAATGAAAGAAACACGTTTAGTTACGGTCTAACCACAATAGATAACCAGTGCATTTTATTTCCACAATACAAGATATTTTAAAGCATTTGTAGGTAATGCATTTAAACATGAGCGGATTATCTTAAAGACAACATTGTGACCAAAATACTTTATATTCTTGTCAATGCGGACTAAGAATTTTGTGAGAAAGAATGATGACGTATTTTGGTGCGTAGAATTATAATGTAAACCGTATTACAATGTAATAAATAAATGAAACATTTCGACGATTTAATAACAATTATATCATGCAACACAAAGTGTGATGAAAATTTTTACACAACACAAAAGTTCCAAATCTTCGTTTGCTTTATTTAAAATGCCTGTGCAGTTATAATATGACCCACGCGTCTTTTAAACTTCAAGGAGGAGCTTTAGAGCCATTTTTCACCAATGCCAGTGGCGTGCACCGATGTATTTCCGTTTTTTCGGCGTGGATAAATTGCTGCCTTTGATAATTTCGAAGACCACAATTTTAGGGGTTAATACAGATATTTTGGGATTACGGTGAAAATAAGAAATATCTGGACATATTATTGTGATGTGGAAATAAACGGACTTCGTTTCGCATCAGTGAGCACTCATTTTCAGGATTTTTTATCATTTACGGCACATTTCATACCTTTGATTTGACAGTTTTTATATAATCATCAATTTACTTCTTTACTTGCATATTTATTTTATCTTATAAATTTTGATTGTAGATAAGTATTTATTTTTTTATTAATTTAGTTTACTCACACCTTTACTAAGAAATTAATTTAGGAAAATTAATTTATTTTTTGTCCATCCAAAGTTTGCCTGGAATAAATAACTTTTAGAAATAAGGCCGCCCATTGTACCTATCACTTCCACATTAAGTTTTTGATTTTTTTTTGTTTTACTTTATTTATTTATGCTTTATTGCTAACCTTAAGAAAAAAAACAGGTAACAAAGGGCGGACTTAATGCCCAAAGGCATTCTCTACCAGTCAACCCAGGATATAGTGAAAGTTTATGGTAGGTGCATCAAGGGATATAAAAATTACACAAATTAATAATAATATAAAAGAAATTAATCATATTCATTTTTGATTATGCTAAAGTACTTATTGTATATATTTTACTTTTGGTGAGCAATAAAATATATTCATTCATTCATTCATAATTATGCGTACATCAGTTTTCTTACTAAATTTGTCTATAGAAAACAGTTATTAAAATACATATTAAGCACTTTATTAACATCCGGCAGGTTCAATATCGTAAAGAGATGGTACTAGTGGTTTGATAAAAGAGATTAATACGAGTATCATTAGGAGCTTTAAAGTAAAATCGTTATACAGAAAATAAACAGCAGAACACCATACGCTGTACGAGCACTTGTCACCGATTGGTTGTAGTTTACCAAACAAGTGCTAATTGACTGGCAAAGTTAAACTGGAGTATAAAACTTGTAGCCAGTGGCGCGCGATTAAACCCGGTCGGAGTCGTGCCTTATTTAATTAAGGTCAATGTAGATATTTGTTGTGTTGATGTTTAGAAAGTTGGCTATGCAATCCTAAAGATACTCGTTTGTTTTTCAGACTATTTAGTCTAATAGCCTTGGTATGATTTGGCTCCTTTAATTCGATGCGATTTAAATACTTTGATATTATGTATCAAAAATTAAACAAATGGTGGAAAATTGCACTCGATAATACAAATATACTCAAATAATAAAAATCGTAGCATAATGAAATGTAGTATTTCTTTCCTTAATTTTTCCTTGTCTTGAGAGGTATTGATAAGTAATTACAATATTGATTTCTTGTTTTTAAGTGAATGTTGTACATTTGCTGTATGTTGTACATATGCTGGAAAGGGTTCGAAACGTCGAGACTTTAAAAATCTAACTAAACGCGATAAAATCCGTAAAGTAGCTTCAATTGAAATGATTGTTTCACTAATTTTTCACGCTGAATTACAATTTAACGTTTGTATCTACCATATAATTAATGACCCTTAATAATCACCTTGAGCAATCGAAGCCTAGACTTACTCAGTTCCTCTTTCATATTGAAGTGATGTCTTAAGTTCTTTCAAGTACTACTATTTCTGTACTACTATTACCATATTGACACTGTAAGGAATAAATCCAATCTAGAATACACCTTTCTATTTTTCCAAGCACTCGCATCCAGGTGGTGTAGACCGCATCAAAGGAAATCGCTCTCGATCTGTGTATGGCCAATTTATTGAAATGAAGGGCTGAAATGGGATTCAGCGGTTATCCTGTATTGCTTTTGATATTTACAGTGAGACCGATTTCATAGAACATCCTAAATTGAAGTCTCGAAGCGTAATACGCGAGTGATGTCGTGTTCATAATACTTTGTGATCCATGTCGTTTTCTTGGGGCCCACTTTATTACGGTGGCACGCATCTGCAACCCTACGCGTGTTGCAAAAGTCCATGGACGGTGGTTGTCCCTTACCATCAGGTGAACCGCCAGCTTTGTTGCCACCTTCTCACATAAAAGAAGCGTTATGTGATTGCCTTTTTATTTAAAGAAACGGGTAGTTTCTGTAAATAGAAAAACATAAGATGCAGCCTTAAAATTAACACATCCACATATGAAGTTGGATGGTTAAAATCTAAATGAAATTTTTGATATGTTATTATATATATTAAATACATACGGAGTTTCCGTAATATTCTACAAATAATCTTGCGGTGGTAGGGCCACGCAGCAGCCTCGGCTGATGCACGAATGTGCTGGCCCGTCGGGTAAGAACCACAACCTCACAGAAGACCAGCGTAAAGTAGAAGTATGGCAAATAATTTCGCGTTTCGTCTGGTGAGTGATTTAGCCGGAGCCCAATTTTCAAAGGGTTGTCAACGTATCTGTAACCTTCGGGTGTAGCAGATGTCCTTGGGCGGCGGTATTCACTTTCTATCAGGTGAACCGTCTGCTCGTTTGGCAACTTTTCACATTAAAAAAAAATAACAATAATTTGAGTTGGCAGTTATCACCACAAATTTATTGCTGCGCCTATTATGTTATTTTCACCGCATATTCGATTTGCTTGCAAAATTCTAGAAGAGTTGTAGGTATTTTATTTCTATATTAATTATTTATCTACATAGATAAATAAAATTAGAGTGTATGCTTATGTTGCTTATGCGTATATGATATACACGATAAACGTACCAAAATATTTTTTTTACTATTTTTGTCTGTCTGTCTGTTTGTTCCGACTAATATCCGAAACGGTTGGACCGATTTTGACAGGACTTTCATTGGCCGATATCTGATGTAATAAGGACTACAGCTAGTCTTAAATAAACCTAGCATGACTTATTATGTTATGATATACGGAACATAAAGATTCATGATATTGTGTCTGACTTTATAGTCTTTAGTAGTAATCTAAGTCGGATTTTTAGTTTTTTTGCCGGTTTACGGTAATAAACCCTGTCAAGATTGAGTGAAAACTGCCTTGAAATGTAGAAAACATCATCAATCAATCAAAATCATTCAAAAAATATCTTTATTCAAATAGACCCTTGCGCGTTCTTTTATTATATATAGGTTCGTATTAGCCGTCACTGAACTCCTTAGGACTTAAGGGCGTAATTATTTCTAACAGAGGAAACATGGAAAGCTAAAAAATAGAGAGCACCGTCGGAATGAGGTCAAGCTGGAATTTATTTACAGTACAGAAGACGTACGCACGCACGGGGGACCGTATTAGTACAGTTCGCAGCATACGCGGAACGAGCAACGGGGCCGTTCCGCGCAGCCCAAATCGCTGGGAAAACATAACGGTTCATTAGACGAGCAGCGCCGGTAGGCACTAAGCAAACATTTCACATTTTATCTTGCGCCGTATTCACACATCGACGGCTCCGTACGCCGGGAGAAACATATCGACCGCGCTATGCTGCTTGCGTTTGTTTTGCTCAATTTGCTCTCGGCCTTCGCCGTTACGGCGAATGTGCGACAAAGGAGGTACCTCGTTTATCCGGACGGTGGGCCGGCCCGCGCTCAGGTATTCTATTTCTTTTTATTCGCCCAATGAATCTGCGAAATTTACATAGCTCAGTTGATTTTAGCTTAAGTGAATTACGTCGCCTTTGCACACGCTGTCCGGCTTAACGAAGGAGCTTACTTTTTGTCCCCCGCTGAATTGAAATGCAGTTCAGTTTTGACTTTAGAAATGTATTTGATTAGCTTAAGCTATATATATCTCAATTATTCCTCATTGGAGTTTGTAAGTTAGTTCTCAGCATCTAAGAACATTGATATTTCAGGACAAAGTCAAAGGATTGACACGGTTAACCGGTTAAAATTCCGGTTTTGTATAAAATAATGCAATAAGCATTATTTTTCAGCAATTTATTTTGTATTTGTTTCTTCCACCAATGCCAACACAGAGGAATAGAAATTAAACTGCCAATTATAATCATCTTTAATTCCGTAGAGGTTTTGTTTCTTGCAAACGATGCAAAAAGTTGTGATCCTAAGAATAATTTTAGGCAACATTAAGTAATTTACTACTAAGTAAGCGCTTTAAAGTATTAGTTTGAAGTCAGAAGATACTCACTTTCCTGACAGTAATGTGTGAGGTTTTTTCGTAATATTCAATTCGACTTGATATTTGGATTGTATCCAGTTTAAGATGCTGTAGTATTTTCAAAGCTGAATTATTATATACAATTTAAATCCGTCAGCTCTACATTTGCTTTGATATGTTATAAGTTTGAGATTGCCATGAATGGAGTTTGTTCTTTCATTCAGTTTTTACATTCATCATCAGAACCGCAATCTTTTACTTTCAGTTCATTATAGGTCTGGGTGTGCCTGTAGATTTAAAGGAAGCATCTGTTACTGTTGGTACTGTCATCAAATTCCAATACGATTTACCAACAAACAGCAGTGAATATACGAGCAGGATTTATGGATTCGCTGATACTGTCTCTAGGGATATGAATGACAACCCTGAAGAGGGGGAAGACAAAGATATCGAGCCTGCGAACGGCTATTCCAAGGGTAATACAGGAAATGATTTATTAGATAATGACAATGACACCCTAGTGGACATAACTTTCGACGATAGAAGAAAACGGTCAATTATGTTTTCCGAAGGAGGTATGATGAACAGCATTGATACGACAAAATCAAGCTCCCAGTTATCGCTTGAAGAAGCTATTAAAAGACAAGAATTAATTGATCAAAAGCATGTGGAAGAGGAGCAAGAACCACAGAGAATGAATAGATGGGACTTTTATAAGATTTTAGAGCACATGGCTGAAAGGTAACAAAGTATTTATATGTGTTATAATACAAATGAAGCAGCCTTATTTAATTATTAATATATTATTACATCTTTCCCGAACTTAATATATTCTGACCGTTTAGCTTCTATCCGTTTAATCACAACTTTCTCTTTTATAAATATATCTTAAGAGTTATATATTATACAACCTTCCAGCTTATGATCGTTGTGGCGTGGTAAAAGAACATTTATAATTTATAAAAAAAACTTTATTGCCTTCTTTATAACTTATAACTAAACATGCATTCTTAAACTTAAAGTACACAATACAGTAAAGGGAAAAGGAGGCGGCTCAGCTTGTGCTGATTTATGTTATATTGATGTAATAGTTTAAGCAAATTCAGGTTGGTTGTATGTAGTATGTTGTTAGTAATAATTTAGCCATATTCTGCACCCATAGAAAGAAGGAATTCCAGGAAAGTATTATATTGTTAAATAAACAGCATTATTAAGCTATTTTAAACTCTACTATTTGGAAGTTGTTAATTAAAAAGCTATTGATAATTAGATTATTAAGGAATATTTAATTAAAAGTTTATGAATTTAATGTAACTAATTTTTGCGTAAGCTTTAATGCATATTTATCTGTTCTTATTTAATATTGACAACCTAGAGTATCCAAAATGTAGCCAAATATTGTTTTCAACTTGAATTGTTGTTGAAGTTAAAGAAAATAGTTACATAATACAAAACTCCATTTCTTCGAACTTCATTCTTCTTGTTTTGGTCTTATTCATGATTAAGTTTAACAACTTCTTGACAAGTTCGATCTATGTATCTTGAAGTTTTAGCTGTTTTTTCGCACATTGCAGAGTATGAAGTATCCGTTATTTTTTGTATGATACTAGTTAAAAATAATTCATATACATTTTTCTTTAGAATCTGAATATTTTAAACTATTTTTTTTATATCAGCTAATAGCTTGGTCTTATATATTTTAATGTGTTCGCGACGTATTCGTATCATGCAATTTTTATAGAGACGCTACATAATTTTTGACTACAAGCAAAAAAGGTTAGAAATTTCGAGCAACGCGATGTTTGCTTTCAAAACCAGGTGACATTGTCGCAGGATCTTAAAGGATTTTTGGTTTAAAGAGCTACCATACATTGTACTCAAAAGGTGCTACATGTTGTGACCAAGGCAGAAATGCTTAATTAGTCTCAAACGCCGCTATAAATGTAATGTAACAGTGATTTTATCAGTAATTTCCAATTTAGATGGAGGATTGTCAAGCGAGAAATTGGTTCACCTGATGTCCATTCATTGCTCATAGACATCTAAACCACTCGAGGGCTTGCAGATGCGTTAACCCCCTTTAAAAAAGTGGGCCATGATTACCCGCACCAGATGATACGCAAAATTATTACACTTCCACTTCACGTTCATCTTCTGTGCGGCCGTGGTACTTTCTCGGACGAGCCTGCTCATTCGTGAAACAGGAGAAGCTATTCATTGCCCGACCACAATAAAAGCACCTAAAAATATTTGGACAAACAAAGGCTTAACCACTAGAATCTACTCTGAACAAAAGGCTGAGCAGTTTCAACCAGGTTTTGTTAGATGTTAGTGCAATATTATAGATATTCCGTAGTGACATTATGTGTAGTTAGTGTTAGTTGTTAGTGAGTATTGACACAATTCATGAACTACTATACATTAATAGTAGTTCATGAATTGTGTTAATGTATTCTACTACTTACAAATTTTTAACTAGTGTACCTTAGGCATTTTCTAAAAGTAAGAAGTTATTTTTAAATACAATGGTTTTTAAGTGACTTTAACATATTAAAATTTGTCCACATAGATAATGGTCACCCTATGCTGTAATAACTTACGAAATTTCCCAGGTACGGATATACGGGTAGACCATGCCTGCTCCGTACGATCTGCGAGGCGGCCGAGGTTCCTTTCACACACGAAAACGGTTTGCTCGGAGAAATTGGCCATATATTATTCACGTAAGTACCTGCACAGCTAACTGAGCAAGTACAAAGCGGAATTAAATTGTAAACCGAACGCTCTGTGCGCTCGGATACTTTCTTGATTTTTCTCTTTTCTTGTTCTTCATAAAAAGGAACACTAAGATTTTTATTATCGATGCGATCATATATTTTCTTTATGGATTTTAACAGTTTTAGTTGATCCGTTTCAGATTTGTCTTTTCCGTTTTTCTCCTAAATTGGTTTATTTTAGAGTTAGGCTGTAATAAGGCGCAGGGATAACGCGCAAAATTTTATTTAAAACTGCGGTTTTGACTGCGGTATGGCTGATGGGCTAAACATTTAAAAAACTTCACGGCTGGACATATTTTAATAGCTCTTTATTAAGCCTCAAATTTTGACATTACTATACAAAACCAATGCTTCGTAACCCATTCTTTGAGGAGAAATTTAATTTTTATCAGAATACATTTTCTTGTTAAACGATTTATATGTTTCTGTTAGAGTAATCACATTTACATTAGTATGGACAGTTCGCACAAACATTGCAATCTGTTTTATCTTATCGAATTGGTTTACATATATTCGGGAGTTTGATTAATTTAAAAAATTTCAGGCCATCAACAACCAATGATCCGCTGTCACATCACACGGATAATGAATACCATGCGGCTGAGAGATTGGGACGAGAGGCAGAGGGGTATTGCGAAAGACACTTCCCTGAATGCGAGGGCTCAGTTCTAGATACGTTCTCTGAAATTGGTGTGGAGACTTTGGAAAAATTTGGTTTGCTCTAAATAAATAAATTGCTCTAAATAAATAAATGACGCTCATTTTCCTGGTTTTATTTTTGACAAGATGTCTTTATGGATCAAGGTGCGAAATTATGGAATGCCCTACCTCTGGAGGTGAGGCGTGCTCAGTCACTTTCCACTTTTAAAAACCTTGTCAAGAGTCACTATTTGTCACTTTAAATCTGGTTTAGATACAGAATGTATTAACTATGTTTATGGATATATGTTATATATAAATATATATGTATTTATTTTGTTATTTATGTACTCATTTATCTATTTATTTATTTTTTACAACAAAGAATGTATTTATCTTATAAAATTTAAAGAATTTTACCCACACCTCTAAAATGTTCTTTTCATATTATGTCCATCCAAAGGTTGCCTGGAAGAAATTGCTTTAAGTAATAAGGCCGCCCATTGTACAACCCTTACATAATTGTTATTTTTAATGTATTCTTTTTACAATGGTGTGTGCAATAAAGAATATTCATTCATTCATTCATTCTTTAACAAAAATTGATTTATGTCTACAGATAACACAAACCACTCAGCACTGATAATGCGTAACCTACAAAGAAATAAAACGGTTTAGAGATAACGTAAAGGTTAATTAAGTGAAAAGTCACTTTGGATATGGTATTTTGTCATCAAATTCCATAGTACTAACGTATTTCATGCAGGGATAGATTCTGAAAATATTTATGTTTGCGTTACTTTGCTAAGTGAAAGAGTTCCAAAATTTCGTCCTTCATGATTTTTAAGATTTTTTAGCACGAAAATACAAACCAATTAATGAATTTGGATTTTTTAAATTTTCATATTTTTGGGTTGCTAATCCTGACATTCGTACGCAAAGAATTCATAGATGATAAGATTAAATAGAATTTAGTTTTTTGTGGGTGATGCTAGATATTATACGCGACTTAATCTGTGAACTAGGTCGAAATATACAATAATTTTTTGGAGCAGACATTTTAATACTTTCCACTGGAATTGCTACTCTTAGGATAATTATTTCTTCGTAATATTCAAAGTTTTAAAGCAAAGTTACTATTAATAAGATAAGTAGTTAAACTTAAGCTGTTCTGGTTTGTAAGTGGATAGAATAACGAAATTTTTTATAATTAGTTTAGCCGACAAAATTTTATACTTAGGAAATTCTCTTTGTGAGTTTCATAGACTCGTTTTATTCTTCTGCTCTTGTTTCAAACGGATGTAATAACTTTGAAAATTATTGAAAATTAATTAAAAAACAAATTAGAACACTTACAATGTTAACTGTACCCTCTGTTGTTAAAGATAAAACTTTTGAAATCTCTTATTGTAAAGACTATGAAAATTTCCCAGGAAGCCATTCCCTTATAAATTGCTTTTGTCAATTCCCATTTCCCGACTGTCGTAATCTAATTTATTGCTGTTTACTCGCACAACAAAGTTTGTAAAACTTAGATAGCTGTTTTAAGATAATTCCTTTTTGTCATATTTTTCGTTACAAGTAAAATATAATAATAACATCTTATGTTTGTTGTTATTAATTTAAGAAGGGATCAAAAGCACATGTTAAGTTCTTAGCGCTACATAATATTAAAAACATGGCTCCTTTTCTGTTACACTTTACCGAGATAAAATCCGTATAACACTTTTTTTAAAGATTTCATGAAAGCGAGTATATTAAATATTAATATATTTAAAGTTGCTACTTGGTGTAGTTTTAATTCTGTGCATCTTGTAATGCAATCATCAGGTCAGATACCATGAAAATCTTATATATTTAAACGAGCAGTTCTCATATGTTTTGCGTATGTCGGAGACGGTACTAAGGATTTGGATAAAGCTTTGGGTTTAGATCAGATTTTGCTTTTTTAATTTATTTATGTACGAAAAAAGGCAATAGAATATAATATAGTTAAGAATATATACTTAAAAATTTACCATAACAGCATCATATAGCGTGATCTGGTAATTGTTTGAGGTTCTCGCATTGTTGCTATTGGGTGTTAGCCTACAGGTGACTCAAAACGTTGACAGATGGCACTATATTTCCCAGTAAATTCACTCATTAAACTTATTTGTAAATAGCTTTAACGTTACCGAATATACATGATTTTATGGAAAAAAAAAGACCAAGGGAACATCGTTCTTCTAGTAGATTAAGCCTCACCTGTTATATTCAAGTTATGTGTAAGTCAAGTAATGGTACCGATTAAACATTTACAGTCAGCCCGAATTGTTTGAATTTTGTCAAACGCATGGCTGATTTTGGTAATTGATTGGGTGGTCCGTTAATTACGGTCGTTGTCTGATTCGAGACTTGCAAATACTATTAAACAGTTTGAGAAACGAAGATAAACATTTTCTCTAAGTATATAATTTAGGAGGATACAAAATCAAAGAATACAAAATCTTACGCAATCCGTACGAATATTTTCAGGGCTTGTTCCTTTTACTTCCATAGTCTCTTTGTTGATAAAGAAATGTCCGTTTTTATAATCAAAGTGAGATGGAGATGAATAAAAACTATCAGTGGTGGTGACATCACCAGAACCTAGCTTACTCACCTTAGATTTGGAACCAAAACTTTGGCAAATCTTCTTCTTATCTCTCGCGGTCATTTTATTTTATTTTGTAAGAAAATCCACGGCACTGTTAAATATATATAAATCTTATTACTAAAACTTAAAGCCATTTTGGATTTACATTATTCTGCTAAATTATTTAAGTAGAAAGACATGAAAACTTTTGACACTTAGACATTATTATGGATTACTTGTCTGTGCGTGTAAGATGCCATTTCATCCTCCAATACTTTTAATACCCTACTTTTGAAGCTATCCTTATTTATGTTGAATATATCTAGGTTGTGAAATTTATTAAAGGCTAGTCCGTAGAACAATGGTCTTCCTAGGTGGACGTAGATACAGGAGTTCCAAAAGGCGTTGTATTTGTCATAATTATTATGTTTCCGTTATTTATTAAATCTATCACAACAGTTATCAATCGTTCGTGTTATCTGTATGCTGACGATCTACAGATTAACTTCCAAGAAGGTTTACGGATGACACAAATAGTGTGATGAACCTTAATGACAATATTGAATTTATCAGAGATTGATCGCACAGATTTGGTCGCAGAGATATTGTAATCAATCTAAATATAAAGCTATCATTATTCCTGGTCCAAGAATGCTTGCCAAGATTGATTATGTTAACCCAGTTTTCTAGTTTACCTCAGTATTCTAGTTGTCCCAGTTTATTAGAATGTAACTATTTTTTTTACGTAACACACGTTACTGATCAAGAAATTTATTGTTACTTTATATCCTACGGTTAGTAAAACTACTGTTCGTTAGAACTAAGCATTTGCTTCTTAAATCCTTTATTTTTGCCATTATTTTAACTGTGAATCTGATGTAATTATTGAGAAGGTGCTCCAGACGAGATTGAGATAGGTCCGGGCAGCACACATCTGCATACCAATTTTTTTTAATGTAAGAAGATGGTAAGCGAGCTGGTGGTTCACTTGATATTAAGTGATATTCGCCGGCCATTGACATCAGCAATACTCGTAAGGTTGCAGATGCGTTGTCACTTTTTTAGCATAGTGGGCCTCAGCTACCTGACCCACCAGACCTAACGCAGAAGTATAAGAGTTCAGGCCGGTATTCTGTGAGGTCATGGGACTTCCACGGACAGACCTTCCCGTGCAACAGCTAATTCTTGCGTGGCCCTACCACAGTTATGAAAAATTTTGTGAAAACTGTCCATATGTATATGTTTCTAAAGCACGAAATAGGCAGAGACTTATTTATTTGTAACTTTTATTTGTACTTTTTTTATCTTCTACGTGTTTTGATTATTCTTTACACTGTTCAATTTCTTTTAATGCAATTAAAACCAAACTATATTTCTTTCTGGTTAAGACTCAATTCGTAGATAGCTCATAGGGATGTATATCTACCCTAATAAGCTGCCCAGTTCATTAAAGTATATGCATCATTTAATACTTAACGTTTTTTCAGAACGCTTGCTTATCGCTACTGTCATTTAGTTTTTTTTATTCTCTCAGCTGAACTTTTAAATTAAAACATGCTATATATACGCAAGCGTCTTGAACAAGTGCAATGATCTTAAAAAAAAAGATGAAATTGGTCAGTGTACGGTCGTTAATATTTGTAATAAAAAAATAACAGATAAGCTGATTTACGGGACATTAAAATAAAATAACGGAAACTGCTTCATCCATTTTGTCACCTAATCGACTCTTTATCAGTAATTTATGGTGTATGTATAATAATATCTATATGTCATATAATATTTTAAGAATGTGATTAATAACGTAATAAAACAATGCCATAAAAACTATTTGTAATGTAATTTAGTAAACATGTCAATGAGAGACAATGAACATTTGTAGTTATCTATACAATATTTAACGCTTTCGCCGGATTTAAAGGCTTTGATATAAGGTAACGCATCCTTGGTCGTAGTTTCATCATCAGTAGCATCATTTTCAGGACTGAAAAAGACAAGTTATGGAAGGCTTAATAAATTTCAATGTTCTGATTATTAATATTAAATTTACTTTAATGTTACTACAACACATGATTTATATTCTATTTTAAAGAATTGAACTAGGATAATATAGTATTTATTAAGTAAAAGTTTTACAGTTGTCCATAAACATATATCTTCCCCAACATTTTGAACAGTCTGGAGGACACTAATGGGTTACTAAACCAACTTTCCTAGTAATATTATGTGTTTTTCCTCTAACACGATTTAATTCAAAATCTACAAATCTTAGGCTAAAATAACGCCTGCAACTTGTACAATAAATTTCTACACAAAATATCATCAGCATAAAACATTAACAAAACAGCTTATCGCAGCGTTGGTTTGCGTGTTTTTATCAATTTTAATTGCTGATTTACTCTGTTCTAAAGGTGCAAAGAGCATGTTATGAGAATAACTGAAAATCCGATATATTAAAACATTTACAAAATGTGAAGTTGGCACATACAGAGTACGTGCCGTGCACGGTATGTGCTTAGTTCACATTTTTTAAATATGTTTCTTACCTAATATTAGTAAGCTAGGTCGCTATTGTCAGTATATCCGGCTCGAAACAAGTTCAAGATTTTCATCGGTGTGTAATAGAATTAGAATGAATCAATTTAGTATAAAAGTATTAAAGAAAACTTTACAAGTCAGGTACTTCAATGTAATTGAGTCAGCAAGAGTATCAGTCATACAGCGTGTCGTTACAACCGCGACATTAAATGAACACACGTCTAACGCTGCTTGCCAATAATCTTAAAAAAATATAAAGTTAAAAAAATCCATTATTAAAAAAAATATTTTTCAAGCAAACTAATTAATAAATTACTAACTAATAAAAAAGAAACAAAATTTGTAACATCCTATATGTTACAAATTTATCCTATATGTTGTAGCTGCAACTGACTGATTCATAAATTCAGAGACTTTTTCATTCGTTGCCAGTGTCGCGTTACAAGTCTCTCCTTCTAACAGTATGTTTTATCTCTTTTAAATTCATTCAACCCATTCATATGCTTTGTGACCTTTACAAATGAACTTTACGTTACAGTTTTATACGTCAGGCTGTTCTAAAATTGTTTGTTTTGGAAAATTTAATTACTCGGTAAATATTTATGTTTAAAGAATGTAAATGTTTAATACAATTTTAAAAAGTTATCCTCTATATGCGTGTTCATTTACTGTCGCGGTTGTAACGACATGCCGTGTAGATGATGGTAGCAATAGGTGGTGGTGGTAGGAAGGCTTCTTTATCGCTACAGGAGCCGTAATTTTGGTTATACTATAGTAAAAATTACTTAAGGACGAAGTTGGCCAGTTCATGCAACAGATCCTCTTCGTCACCATTATGAAGGGGTTCAGCGCCCAGATGGCATAGAGCTCGTAAAACGCACGATGATCCATTATGGCCGAAACTAAAACAATACAAAATATTCAAACTTTGAATGGGGAGACATATTCATTTCGTAGTGTTTAAATCGCTAAATGCTAAGACAATGATAAGATAGGTCCTAAGAACTTTGTTATTGAAATGAGTTATAGTATTTCTAATCTATCTTTTCTTTTTTTTTAAACATTGCCCTTACTTTAGGATAATGCAATTCCGTGTTGTAAGGACGTTTTATAAAATAAATTTCACGCGGATAAACACCAGAGATACGAAACAGCTATCTGTGGGTCACACAAATAGTTGTATATGTATTGATATATTGATTGATTGAATAGTCTATAATATATGTTTTGATAACATAGTAGATGTCTGTTGGCGGCGGTATTTTCTTCTTCACCGCCGCGAGAATACCATACGAAGAAAATATTTAAAAAGTACGTACCCGTTTAAAATGTCTTCCACGTATTTATAAAAGTGATAAAGTTTGGCATCGTTTTCATATTCTATCTTTTGTATGGCGTCTGATGTTGATTCTATTACTTCCTTTCTTTTTCTGGATAACCCAGGATATCCAGAATTGGCTTCCAAAATATCAAGAGGTATTTGCGTCCGATTCCATGGTAGTTGAAAATTAGCTTGGAATGCCCAATTAAAAAAGATTGTCTTGATAGGGGTAGGTGTTGCTACGCCAGCGTTAAACTGTAAAAAATATTTCATACACGATGTCTTACACAAAATTAAGAACGGCTAGGATTAACATTTTATTAAGTCCCAATTTATTTTAATTAAATTAATTTAAATTTTAAAGTTTTTTATAGTGCTAATCTCTGCACTTAAGATTGAAAAAATAGATGAAAAAAGGATAAAATATAATATAATAAAAAGAAAATGTAACAATAAAAAAAAATAAAGAAACAAAACATAGAACAAAGACTTACAATTTGGGATTTGATCAAACAAAGTAATATTGCATTAGAGCATGCCTGGCCAAGGGGTTACTTTTATTATGACAATAAAGAAATAGCACATCAAATAATAATCAGGAATTTGTCTTACACGTGTAAACTAGGATTTATAAAAGTTCATAAGTGTAACTTTCGTTCACGTGTGTTAACATGGTGTTGCCACGATATTTTACGATTTTTGGCGGCAAATCTTAGGCGGGCAGTTCAGATATACTTTGAGATAATTATGGATAGCCAACACCAAACTTCAGTAAAAGGGATATGAAGGATCTGTCTTCTTTTGTTTTACCTTGTTTCACAATAATTTTTTGAATTGTAATGTCGCCTACATCACAATTGTCATTATTCCAGGCTTTCCTTATTATTATATTTAACTTTGCTTATATTTGTTTGTCATAAACAATTTACCTCGTGGTTTTGTTTATAATTGTCAAGGAAATACCGACGAATACAAAGAAAATGATATTTCTTTTTCCATTTGAACAACGTAAAAGCCTTTTCAATAGAAGTAGCGGAAAGTTTATGTGTTAGATGTCTTCGTAATCGGACCATTACAGGACATTAAAGAATCCCTTGGGTTTGTTTTAGGTGCTATTACCATAATAAGGGGTTTCTAGAGAAATATATTTCGAGATAGCATCATGCCAACAAAATTTATGAGAAAAGCATAACAGATATGAAAATGTATTTGTGAAACGCGTTTCCCTTGTACCTGTATGATATCAATAACTGTTCAGAACTAACTTGAAACTGAGTAGCAGAAGAGTTGTGGATATTTTGTTAATATAAAAAAGTTAAAGGTTTAAACACAACGAGCAACGTCTCGAGCACAGACGCAGAGAGGTTATTTTCTCAGGTTTTTGTAGAAAGCATTGGCAAAATTGAATATAATACATATATAATTCAATTATTCCTCTTCCGCTATTGGACAATCTGACGCTCAGCATGAGAGGAATGTTGCCGAACAAAAACTGGCCATGTGCGAGTCAGACTCGTACACGAAGGTTTCCGAACCACTATCTATAAAAACGGCAAAAAAATCATGTCTGTTATATGGAAACCCCACTTAAAAAATTTTTATTCTGTTTTTTTAGTATTTATTGTTATAGCGGAGACACAGAAAATTTCAACTGTCTAACTATCACGATTCATGAGATACGACCTGGTGACAGAAAGACAGACAGCGGAGTCTTATAAATAGGGTTCCGTTTTACCCTTTGGGTACGGAACCCTAAAAACTGAATCTGATTGTCAAAATGTGACGTTGCTCTCTTTCCATTTCATTAAAGTATGAGTATTTACTAGCAGTAAATTATTAGATTATTACTACGCCTTGGTTTTAAAGGAGGGAAACCTGCCACTAAAAAAGAAAGTAATGTACTTCTTGAGTAATAAACAAAAACTAGTGAAGTTTCAAAACTGTAAACTGTAAGCAAACTGTAAACATTATGCATAATGAAAAAGCATCAAGTATAACAAGGTACGACAGTAAATGTAAAACAAAATAAAGAGTTGTTAAACTAGCGGGTCTATGTTTTCTTGCAAGAAGCTTACGGCCACGATTTTTTGTTTCTATTTGTTTTCATGCATTTATAACTGCATTTATTGTGGAATATTTTCTATACGCATGTTTGAAGAGAAAACAGCTTGAATAAGTTGTTAATATGTCTTTGAAAGTTTTGTAAAATTGTAACTACGAAACTTTTATAGTTTTTTTTTGAACGAAGTTCCTTAACGCACGGTACGGATGGGGTCTACGCCAAAAAGGTGTAAGAATTTTTCCGTTAAGAAAATACCATGGCATTCAATAACAACTTTTTGACATTTACCTAATTTTCCAAGTTATTTAATTAAACCGCTACAAATCCGTTATAAACTGTTATAAAAACGGGATAAAATATTTAGTCGTTGGAATTATAATACGTTTATCAATAATAATACACTACGACACGAACTTCCTCCCAACCGAGTGTTGACGCAATTCTTTTTTTGTTAGTAATCTGGAACTGGAGTGCATTAAATTTATCGAAAAGTTTCTTTTATAAAAATTATAACTATGTAAAAGTGTATCTCACCTGCAATAGTGTTGAATTGGGGAATAGCAGCTGCCTTTTGACTCTTTTTGAACCTTCGCAATCGGGGATATCAGACTTAGTAAGGGATATGAAGATGATTATTAAACACATAGCTGTGAATTGGAGATTTTTTATCGGTAGCATGTTATTAAGTCAGAGTGTTAGAATCGAGTGAACTATAGGATATACGAGAAATATCTCGAGGTCTTCTATTACGTGTTGAAATGTCAATGGACATTGGAAGTAAAAGTAACAAACTCTATTGAGAAAAATTTTGTGTTCGAGCTGCTTTGTCTTTTATATTATGGACTAACGATAAAGTTAATTTATAATATGGGTTATAATGGGTTTTTTGTGTATTTTTTCTTTCCATTCTACATTTTATCGAATTTTCCGTTAGTATATGAAACGAAAAATTCAACTGAAAAGGCAACAACTAATAATAATAAAGTAGTTTAATATACCATTTAAAAATAATAATGTAAAAACAGGTGTAAGATTAAATTTATTATTATAATTATATATTATTTAAAAATTATATTATTCTTTTATAGATTAAAAAAAGGTGTAAGATAAAAAGAGTGTAATAATGTATTTATATTATATGATCCAAAATTTACTAAGCTTTAAAAAACAATGAAATCTAAAAATTCACTAAGACGAATCTATGGAGATGTTTTCAAAATATAAAATGATAGCAATAGCAATAGATACATGAAATAAGGCAAAGCTACTAAACCATTTTCATGTAACGTCTCGTGACACGTACATTGTTGGATAAACAAATTAGTGGACTGTTGGGTGGTCATGTGATGGTGGAGATTTACAAAAGTTAGCCATCGTCTACACTCGAGTGGTTTCAAACCGATCGGTGGTCAGTAAGGTGGAATTCTACGAAAGAAAATTGCAAGACTAAAAGTTTAGTTCAGTGAAAAGTCTGAAGATAAATAAGTAATTTGGTGATTTTAAACGTTTGGCTTAAAAGATTTTGTTAAAACAGTGTAAAGTATTTCACTTATAATAAAAAAAGATCGGTTGTCAATCTAAATGACAGATTGACAACCGATCTTTTTTATAGTATAAAAATCTTTTAAGTATAAAAAATTCGAAAACCGCAAGCTGGTTTAAGTTTTTTCAATGGACAATACTCGATAGTTCTTTAAGAACGCTGGTTGATAATGCTCTTTCCGACGGCACGTTTTAATGAAGCATACGTCTTGCGGGAGGTAACACACCCTTACTTTAAAAGTACCGCGGAGTAGTCCCGAACGTTGGAACTTTGACAGAGAACTTGGCGGTCCGGTGCCGGGCGTGTGAACTTATGTGAGTTAAAATGTGATACTTTGCGCGACGGTAGAGCGCGATCGAAGTCGAATTCGTAAATAACAACACTTCGAACATGAAATCAAGGTGAGGTATAACTTTCAACCAAATCCATTAAAAAAATCAACTTTCACAAACGCAAATATAACGTTAGGAATGCCCAGAAATTACATAGAGCTGATTATTCTTTGTAAATCTTTTGGGCTTTCGTTTTGAACACGTAAGATTTTTATTTAAATCTATTTAAAATATAAATACCAAGGACCTCCAACAGATTCAACTTGCTCATCATTTTATTATTCATAGATATTTAATAAACGTGTTTTGAAAATTAAATGCGTGTTTACCTACTGCTTATGCTTTCTTAAATAATGTATAATTTATTCTATAATTTACAGGCATATTTTTGGGTTCGTAATTTTCGTTTGGTCTGGTTTAATGAAACCAGCTAACTCCAACAATTTGGAGGATATGAGATTAAAAAGGCAGGTCAACAGTATTCCGCTAGTTTTTCCTTATGGAGCAACCTATAAGGTAACAAATGTTATTATTATTTTTATTGATAAATTATAGTGAAAAGTAGCGAATATGTATAGTGCCAGAATTATTGAGTGCTGATCCTTAACGTCATCACTTTGAGTTCCTTGTTATGTCCTGTTTACGGACCTATTGATTATGAACGATGATGAATGTTTGACTTATTGATTGTAGAAACTTATTTTAGAACAGCTGCCACCTATAGAACTACGATCAGTTAAGAATCTAAGAAAAAATTTAAATTTTATGATCTGCTAGAAACAATCTTCGGTTTACTGCAAACGTTTTATATTGCTTTTGTATTTAACGTTCAAAAATGCTGTTTGAAAACAAATACATCAATTTTTAAGCGACAAATAAGCCCTACGTAGCAATGAATTAGTTTATTGTTTCAAATGATAACGGCTTATCATTTGAAAAAAAAAAAAAACATTATGTTCTTTTGGAACGTTATAATGTAGGTATAGATTTTTCTCTTATAATTTTTACAATCTTGTTGAATTTCTTAAAATTAACAATAGTCGCGCGTTAGCCTTTTTCAATTATTACGCGTTCAAATGGTCTTTTATTTGCTAATAATTTCAGCTCTTGGTCGGAATGATATCGCCAGTACCGAACAATGATGGGATTAGCTTGATTTTCGCTATCAACTTCCAATATCAGTATTTACAGTATCAAAACATATCCCAATTATCTCAATACTATTTCATCAAGCAAGTGTCGAGGGAACAAAGGGATTTGGATGTGGAAGAGAGAAAAGACGAGAGATTGGTGTTCTATAAGGCTGTGGCGGATTTGCTTCAAATGTAAGATTACAGATTAAACCCTTTTACATTAAGCTGTATTTTCTATCACAGCTCTGTCTACAGTCTAGCTATTGTTTATTTATATTATGTTAGAAAAACGTCAATATAGATGTCAAATTTAGCGTTTTACCCTTTGGTTACGGAACCCTAATTATGGCATGTATGCATGCCAGCATGAAATATAAAAGTTTAAAATATTTTTAATTACTGACCGAAGGAAAGGAATGAACGGCGAGGACTGTGTGCTGCGAGCAATATGTGAGGCAGCTCAGTTTCCAGTGGAAGAGGAGGGCCTGGTGGGTGAGGTTTTACACATTTTACTAACGTAAGTGTTGCAGTTGGATAAACAAAATCTCGCTACAAAGGTTGAAAACAGTTTTATCGCACGACTAGGCTCGATAGCTTCAATGGTCCTGATATTGGAAGTGGCGTCTAATAAGAATAGGTTTTTGTTATATTTGAAAAGTTGTCAAACGAGTCGTTTCACCTGATATTATTTTGATTACCGCCACGAAAATATAGTATTTATACTCGTGCTGGTTTTATGTTAAGATGTTAAACTTTCCCAGACAGGCCTGCCCATTCACGCAGCAGCGAGAACTGTTGCAATGCCCTACCATACTGATTAATAAAACCTCTGAATACGTCTCTGTTACGCTTCATTATCTTCATCATTTCAGCCTGTTTGAGTCCACTGCTGAACATAACCCTCCCACTTATACTTTTTTTTTATTATGCCAAAAGTTGCCAAACGAGCAGACGGGTCACCTGATGTTAAGTGAATACCACCGCCCATGGACATCTGCTACACCCGAGGGTTACAGATGCGTTGACAACCTTTTGAAAATTGGGCTCCGGCTACCTCACTCACCAGACGAAACGCGAAAGTATTTGTCATACTTCCACTTTACGCTGGTCTTCTGTGAGGTCGTGGTACTTACCCGGACGGGCCTGCCCGTTCGTGCAACAGCCGAGGCTGCTGCGTGACCCTACCACCATTAATTAATTAAATACTTCCACTAAGCATGATCCTGAGCCACCTGCATCCATCGACATGTGGGGGAACCACACTTGCACAGGTCGTCACTCCGTCGTGGGGTCATCCTACACTGCGATGGCCAGTACGAGGCTGCCTCTCGAGAACCTTTCTTCCTCAATGGTTACCGGTTCTATAAGCTATATGGCCAGCCCATTCTCACTTAGTAACCCTCTGAGCGATGTCGGTTATCTTCGTTGTACTGCGGATGTCTTCGTTGCGAACTATATCACGTCGAGAAATACCAAGCATAGCCCGCTCAATAGCTCGCTGAGCGATTTTGAGCTTTCTCATACCGCCAGCAGTGTAGGACCACGTCTTGGTACTGTTTGTCATACTTGTAAGGCTTACTCGTAAGGTTTTGAAATTTCAATTGGAAACTTTTTCATTTCATGTACAAGTTATTTAAAAAAGGAATTATAATTGAGAGTTTGTTCAGTAAATGGTTTACTGTACTTCTCTAAACGTGGAATTGGATTATTATAATTATAAAGGTTTGTATGTCTCATTTAAAAAGATATCGATTTAATATTTCTTAAGTACCCCTTATTTCTATGAAAATCGTCGAACCTCCTTTAAAGGTTTTTCGAAGTCAGAGTGTATTTGTCTGTATAAAATTTCGCCAGAATCGGTTCAAATACTTTTTGTCATTATTGTAGTAGTTTAGCGTTGTATTAACAAGGGAAATTTTCGACCGAAACATCAGGAACAAACGAACAGTTTAAGAGAGATTTTCATCTTGCATTCACTGGTTCAAACTTCGCTCTGGATTTTATGAAGGATGGTAGAAGGCACTACTGTTCTGTAAGAGTGGTGCAATTAGCGATGCTTTCGAAAAATACGCAACTGGAATTTCACTTCAAGCTTGTTTGAGCTTCGCCCTCGTCGTTTTTATTAAAACTAAGGCCGTATTTTATAATTTCTGTGCCTTTGTCGCAGCGGTTTCTTCTGCATAAATTATTGGATATGTAACTGCTATGAATTTTAACACTTTTTTCCAGACCTGACTATGGAAGGACGGCGTTTGAGGAGAATGATCCAGGCTGGAATGATTTAATGTCGCCTTACATAGATGCGGCCGTTGTCGGGAGACAAATGTTCGACTGCGCTTCCGTTTATTACAACTGTCCCGAAGGTCAAGGTGTTTTAGAGTTAATCTCAGAGTTAAGAAACGAATAAACAAAATGTAGTAATCCTCTTCAAGTTATTTCGTACTAACCAAAAATACACAGTGGTAAAAAATATACTATCGTAGAAAAACTTAATTTTGCCATCAGGAACGTAAATCAAAATTAATTTAAATTCAAGTAAATTAACATTTGAGTCGTTACTGTACCAATAATTCCGTATTGATTAATTCAATTGTCTGTGACTGCCTGCGATTTTAAAATTATAAAATAAACGTTTCAACAGTTCAAAGTTCGTAATAGCGTTTACCGGCATTGGTGAATCATTTAACCAGAACAAATAACTGAATTTGATGCCGGGTATGTTGCTGAATGGGAACTTTACGATACAATGCATTAAATAAAATATTTCAATCATGTCTCTGTCTCAAGTCCTGGAGTAAAATTCCATCAAATTTAGGGAAGCGTAAATTATATTTATGAAGGACTCGAAGACTTATCTTAGACTTAAACGCATAAATCGTATAATCGTATTTAGCGATCAAGGATATTAATATGTACATTAAAAAAGGAATTCCATACCAACATGGCAAATTCGAAATTGTGACGGATAAAGACCTAAATGAGGTAGAGGTGAACTGAAGGTCGCCTAAACAGCGTATTTGAATGTTATATACATATAAATATACATATAAATATACATCAAATATTTTAAAGGACTTGTTTATTCCATTGTCAATGAGTCAATAAAGAGGTAATTTATTAAATAGCCAATGCCACACCCTTTATAGATTAAACAGAATTTAATTTTAGACCTTCCAAACTACAAGAATATATTAACTTTAAATATAATCCTAGGAGATCTAACGTATTTTCCACAAAGTACCCATATTACAAAATTCTGTTGGTGTTTTATTGATGATGTTTCTAAGAAGCTTTTATTTTCTTTTTAATCGATGCTCCTTCCTTTTCATTTTAAATAATTAAGTTTATATTGAGGACTATTAAATAATTTTATATATACGTCATAAATGAAACCAAAAGCGTTGACATATGTAACTAGATACAGTTAGTACAAATTAGATAGTATTTCTTGAACTCGGTTAGTTCAGATGAATTTTTGGTCCACTCTGTTGACTATTTAGATTTTTGAAGTTATATTTTTTTGGAGCGTTTGGAAAATATGAGATTTAAAATTTGTACTATGCGCACGCACACCGACATGACGAAGGTGGTTGCAAAGCGACTAACTTCACGTTAATACCATGGCAACCAATAACAACTTTTCGATATTCATCCATAATTCCAAGTTATTTAATTAATCCGTTATCAAAATTGCACAGGGGATAAAAATTTTAGTTCTTTTTTTGTGACGCTAAAGAAGTACAACCTCTTCTTACCCACGTACATAATTACACACAAACGCATTTTTTTATATATTTGAGACTTGAAATCAAAATGCTGTGCAGAAGAGAAAATAACGATGTCAATTTTACCTTAGAGAATTTCATATCTGCACAGATTAAAAAAGGCTCCTCGAAATGCACTACGACATTTAAGTGCATTTCTGTCGACTCCATTAGAGGAATTAACTAACGGAATCTAAAAGATTGTGTAAGTGCTTTCGCCATTAACGGAAGTTGGCTGACTTTGTGACACTTACGAAAGGTGGCGGGCGAAAGTTCTTAGAAAATTGGGCCTGACGTTACCTTAAGTAACAATTTTGACATTATTTTAAGGAAATATTAATTATTGAAAAAAATCAATAATTTTTTTTTTAGGATACATTTTTCAAGGAAGATAAAAACTATATGTTGTGAATGTAGATAGAAATAATCGCCAAATTTTGAATTTAGATAATTTTTCCACATTCGCATAATCAAACATAATTAAATTGTCTAAAAACTGTTTCGGTGGTATTAGATCGGTTTTGGTACCTTGCCCAGTTAAGCTATACCCAGCTATGGACATCAAATGACATCATCATTGGTGTGTTGAGTAGATGTGCTGAGATTAACTCTTATTAGTTGTTTGAGTTTTTCAGAGTACTAACTGAGTAATATTTTGCTACTCGAATAGAGCAGCATCATTGCGTTTAATCCTGATCATCAACTATTGGTGCATTAAATAAGCCAAGTCATAAAGTAAGTACTCATTTGATATGCAGGTTGCATCTACCCTTTTGAAAAAGCACTTACGTGGCTATCGTGCTTCATATGTCAAAAATTAACATCATTTCATATTAAAATAGACAAATAATTGTTGATTCCCAAACACTGATAACCGCAGCAACTAATATAACAGAGACCACGTGTATTAATTTATCAAAGTCTAGGTAAATTAACGACATGCGTTTTGATTTACAATAAAACATTTTTTTGTATCTTTTTATCGTACTCTGTTACAAAGTTTTCGTCTGCGCGATATCTTCGGACTCCGTTGAAATGCAAGATGCTTACGATCCATAGGTAATGTAACGTCAAGTCATAAAAGATACTGTTTGCGCACCCCTTATATCTTCAGCAGATAAACTGGGCCTCATACCCGCTGCAGGTCACGCACAGACGATCTTTTTCTCTGAATGTTTATAAAGGCTTTGTGAGAGCACACAGCCTTAGTTGTCGTGCGTTTAACAGCATAAATAAGGATAACGCGCAATTTTAGAATACGGAGTGTGATACTTTATTTACACGGAATCGTCTTTAGCTATATTTTGGTATTCAGAATGAGCTTTTTCACAATCTTTTTCGGATAACAGCTCGACTTTTAAGTCTGGCCGCTTGCCTTATGTTAATCATGGAAGGAAGAAGGATTCCAAACAATTACCATTGGGTCACACAATACTTGTATGGGAAACGAACCCACGACCCCGTGTAGAACTAATAACTCATCAACTGCTCCACGGAGCCCTTATTTATTATCGTATTTTGATGTTTTTTTTAATCTTATGTATTGAGGAAGCTCTGTAGAGCTATTTTTAAGCTTGGTCCTAACTGTTTACATAAAAGCTCCTGCTGTGGAAATAGGTCAGCTCGATCGGGGATAACACAGTTTTAATATACACGATAATTTCGAGTACCGGCCAACAATTTTTTTTATTTTAGAAGATGGTAAACGTGCTGGTGGTTCCGATTCGATTCGATTTCGAGTGATAACCGCCGCCCATGCAAAATTTGCAACATCCGTAGGGTTCCAAATGCGTTGTGAACTGTTTATAAACTGGCTACCAGTTACCTCACTCGTGAGACGGTTTTCTGAGGTCGTGATACTTTCTCGGACGGACCAGCCCTACCAAAGTAAAAACCTCTACAGTCTTCGCGGTTGGCAACGAGCTTGCAAGATCTCTGCTGTTGAGAGTCAATGGGCCACCTTTCTCATCTACCACGACCGCGGTTTGGAAAAAATATCTGGCTCGGCAATGAACCTCTGTTTATGGAGTTTTAAGATTTACTCTATTGTTAGATATAGAAAAAAACGGGCCATGTGCGATTAGGACTCGCGCTCGAAGGGTTCCGTATCTAGTATCTATAAAAACGGCAAAAATATCATGTCTGTTGTATGGGAGCCCCACTTAAATATTTTTTATTCTGTTTTTTATTAGTATTTGTTGTTAAAGCGGCAACAGAAATACACCATCTGCGTAAATTTCAACTGTCTAACTGTCACGGTTCATGCGATACAACCTTGTGACAGACGGACAGACAGACAGCGAAGTCTTAGTAATAGGGTCCCGTTTTACCCTTTGGGTACGGAACCTGAACGATTATTATTGTGGTGAAATGAGAAAAATAAATTGTTTTCACCATTATCATAACCACAGATACTATGAATATGTCACTGTTGTCATAATGACGAAGCTTGTGTAAATGAAAAAAAAAAAAAAACAACCTTAATTAACAACCAAAATATTATAATATTTACAATTATTTTCTATTTATTAATTTATTATTTTAAAAAAAATTAAAATATAATGTTTACAATTAAGTTCTATTTTACGATAGCTAACAGTCGGTGTATGTAGAAACCTCGAGCATCGAGAAAGGACATGATGCGATGGAAGTTCTGCAGTCTTCTTCAGTCTTATTGTGCCATTTGTCAGTCGCTGATGATGTACGCCTAAAAATAATATAACATCAAGAATATTAATTATTATTTACAAATAGGCAAGTTTTCTATAACTGGACAGAAAGTACATGTAATGATATTATAACAAGAGTAATGCTAAATGCATTCAGTTATGGCCAAGTAGAGGGAATAACTTGGACTATTTAGTAAATAATAGAGAATGTAAATAGGATATGAATATGATTTCTACGATACAGTTATGTGTCGGGAAATATAAGTTAGTTCAAAAATTTTACATAGCGCTAAACTTAAATGTCAGTACTTAAGCGGAATGTCTGAAAAATATACAGAAAAACTAAAATATACTTAAATCAGTTGAAGAACTTCATAATATAAAATAGAAAAAAGTATTCGAAGATGACGATGAGAATCCTATTAGTGGTAAGTAATGAAGTTTGCTTATTAAAATAGAAAACATACTGTTATGTACTTATATTTCGTGACGGTATAAGCATGTCTTTTTATTGAAAGAATGATGATTAACATAAATGCTAGTAGGCTGACTATAGAATCAAAATGCTTACCTAAAAACCTTTTTTAAAATTTTATAGTAGATCCCTCTCGGTTGCGAAATTCTTTCCATCTCGCAAATTGCTCGGCGCACGCAATGGAAGCCATCCAGGCCGTTCCTGAAATTAACAAAATAAAAACGTGCATTTCAGTTACAATATATTTTTGAATCCTTATGTGGATGCATCGGTTTGTTTTGTGCAAAATAATTTTCATCAACTTTAAAAGGATTATTAACGTTTAAAGTAAGAGGCATTTTCATTCGTTTATAATTTAAAGCGATGGCTAATTTTGTATGGAGGTTTTTAACTTTGCCTTAACCATACTTTTTCATTACTTTTTTAACATTCAACAAAACATAGGATGTACTTATGTGATACATTTTTATTAGGTTGAAAGCCAGTTTTTGTAAAT